ACTTTTTTAACCTTTTTCTTAATTATTTTTTTAGTTTTCACCGGAGCCGCAGGGGCTTCAAATTCGTGTTGTTCACCACCATCTACTACTGCTGCCGATTCTGAAGTTAATTTGACAGCTTCACTTTCAGTTTTAACATCGGGAGTTTCGGTTGGCTCGTGTTCCTTACTCTCGTCTGCTGCTACTTCCTTTTTCTTGACGACTTTCTTGACAACTTTTTTGACAACTTTTTTCGTCTTCCCCGATTCAGCCGTCGCGTCAGTTTTATCGTCGTTCATCCTTTTTAGTGGATGTTTTTAAAAGTGGGGGCGAGGTTTTGATGGAAGTGATGATGGTAGAGGTGGTGGTTGTGGTGGTGGTGGTGAATGTGTTTGATGATGACCGGTAAGAAATATTAATTGGTGGATGTGAATAGTGAATAACGTTCAACGGTGATCAATGAAAAAACAACACGTTCAGTTACTGTGTATAAAAATGAAATGAAAGTCTCATCATACTTTTATCACTTTCCATAAGAAAGTGAACTATTGTTAAAAAATTATTTACTGGGTTTCACAATTTGAAGAATAACAATCCTACAACTATTTGCTATTCAGACATGACGATGGGATTAATTTAATGAAGGCAACGACAAACAAACAAACGACATACATGATAGTAAAATCCAAAAATTAAAAGCACTTAAAAACCAAATGCACGCACAAAGACACCTAAAAACGAATGAACGAACGAACGAACAAACAAACGAAGAAAAACAACCAAACAAACAAAAAAAAACGAACCTTACATGGAGCTACCGACCTACCTATCTATCCAACCATTAAAACGGTGTGTGTGTATGTTGTAGATTTTAGTAGTTTCGAGTAAGCAGCAATCAACAGCAATAAACATCATCTTCTTATTTCATATCATCCCTAAACTGTGGTGGATAACATCTTAATATACCTACATACATACATACATACATACATACATACATACATACATACATACATACATACATACATACATACATACATACATACATACATACATACATACATACATACATACATACATACATACATACATACATACATACATACATACATACATACATACATACATACATACATACATACATACATACATACATACATACATACATACATACATACATACATACATACATACATACATACATACATACATACATACATACATACATACATACATACATACATACATACATATATATACAACTTGATACATGGAAAAATCATAATATCATTTTGTTTGCACTATACATGTACGTAAATACATTTCATCGTTGCATTGTATATATATATATATATATATATATATATATATATATATATTAATATTATATTTTTATAAATTATTTTTATGTATATATATATTAATATTATTTATATATATGTATATTTTTTATCATTATTTACGATCTAAATTTTATCCATCCGTATACACACACATCCTATGATCAAACCATTCGATAAATACAATTGGAAGAGTATTGAATTCTTAAAGTTGTTATAATAATAATAATAATAATAATAATAATAATAAAATTAATGTTTCAAACATGACATAAACAGACGTATTTGTTTAATTTATAACTCCAGTGCTTGTCGCTCCTTGTCTCACATCTTCCTATTGGTATTTGTTGAATGTATTTTTGTATTTGCGTATATATATATATATGTGTATTAATGTGTATACGTATGTTTGTGTTTGTATTTATACATATGTATGTGGGTATGTATGCGTGTGTTTGTATACATGCGTGTATTGTATTGTAATTTTGCGCGGTATTTTCAGGCTTATTTCTATGCTAAAGTACACATTTGTAGAATTCTGGCCAAGCCTGCCAGCCTACACTGATCATCAATGAAGAATGTAAATAATGATATATCAATCTAGGAATTACTATGTTAGGATTTTTATAGTTTTATATAGATATATGATATATATATATATATATATATATATATATATTTGCGTATATGTATTATATACACACATACACAATTTCTCTTTTTTACACACACACACACACACACACACACACACACACACACACACACACACACACACACAGATACAAAACTTTCAATGTATTGACCTAAAAAATGTAAATTAGTTCAATACTGTTGTACGCGTCTTTAATGCAAATGTTTTGTTTGTTTTTTATTTCATTTTTTCCAATAATTCTTTTTAGTTTTGTTCATCATCTTTCTGTTTGCCAATCAAAAGGTATATATCTGAACGCGTCCATGTGTTGCAAAAAAACTAAATGTAAAAATGATATTAAATGTAAATAAAAGTTTTGACAACGATTAAAAATTTAGATCTGGTTTTCGCTATTTTCTTCCGAACGACGCCATGACATTGATTAAAATAGCATTTTATTTTTAATTGAGATATTTATCTACGTATATCTACATTTTTTGAATATTTTTATTTACGTACCTGCCCAAACCTGCTAATCAGCTAACTTATATAAATATTATATATGTTTGTAAAGTGGAAAGCCCAATAAATTTTTTAGTGGTTTTTTAAGCATGGAAATTTTTATTAAGCGTAAAGTCGTAAAGTAAACTTAGTTAATACGTGAGTTATGCCATCGTTCATTCATTCATTCATACTTTCTTTCATTCATTCGTTCATTTATTCAAATTCAAATTTTTAATGCCCACTCTTTTTTAATAATTTAGCAGAGCTTTTAGCATATTGCCCAAATTACATACAAAAATATATTATAAATATTTACTATTTTATATAATAAATTATAAATATAATATTATATGTGTGTTTGAGAGAGAGAGAAAGAGAGAGGGATAAAGATAATATATAATTTATCTTTATAATATAAATATACAAGTCTCCTTCATACTAACAAACAATCGAGTATTTTAAAACTATTGTTTAAAACTGTTATGATTCTACTAATCTAGTTGGGGTTTAGTTTAAATAATTTGCATAATTATATATATATATATATATATATATAATTTATATACATATATGTTTGTATCACAACACTAATATATACTTATATATAATATATACATGTGTGTGAGTAAGTAAATGTTTGCTTAACTTTATATTTATATATATATATATATCATTCATTTATTCAAATTCAAATTTTTATTTATATATATATATATATATATATAAATATATATTTATGTTGTTGAGCAAAGAATGACAAGTATTAACTATTGAAATATTAATATGTTTTAAAGTGGTAGCATTAAATTTAAAAGCTATTGAATAATAATTTACTTGAAATTTTAAAAGCTATAGCTGTTATGTTGAGTATTTGTTATATTTATATTTAATTTGTGAGATATGGTAAATGTTTTGAAACTAATTATCAGTAATTGTTTCACTATTATAAATCATTTTTAGTGTTATTAAAATATTATTTCTTCATTATTGTTTTCCAGATGTTTTGTTACTGTGGTATTTGTTAGATGACAAATTACAAAGATCTGGTAATATTATCTAGTAATCTGCCTTTTTGTCTTTTTTCATTCCTAAACATCACCTAGAGAAATATAAATCACTGACTCAAAAAAAGCATCTCTAAATAAATGAATATCACCAAACATGCAAATGACCATCACCACGTAAAGCACATCACTGCTCTGAAGGATATAAACTCGACTGCCTTAGTCCTCAGTGATGATGTCACTAAAATTAGTGAAACAGAGCCCTGGCCAAAATCTCGAGTAAAGCACGCCGTATGCGAATGTGATGGCTTTTTGTATTTATTTGGCGGAAGGAACCTTAATGTACCTTTAAAAGATTCATGGAGATATTGTTTGAGTTGGTAGTTAATTACTATTTATTTTTATTATTAGGTTTATAATTTAGTAGTAGTAATATAATAATAATTGTTCGATAACAATGATTAAATTACTTATTTAACGTAATTCAAGTTTTCTGCCACAGATATTTTAAATTGAATTATTTCAATAACTTTGTTAAATTTTTGCTTTTCATTCTATCCCTAATCTCCTCGCAGAAACAGAGAAGTGGGAGGAGTTAAATTTGATTGGCAGCAGGCTTCCCCATCTCGAAGGCCACACGGCGACAGTTGACAATAGTATCATTTACTTATTTGGAGGGAGTTTCTGCAATAATGTTATTTGGAAGATAGATACCAAGTCCATGAGGTGATATATCTTTTTTTGTCTATTTAATTTCTTATTTATAGTTAAATTTTTTTAAATATGACTATTCCCATGTTTAAATTTAGTATATGAGGTAAATTTATTGTTAGATGTTAATTAAAGATTGAAATTTGTAATATTGAATGTTAACCATGCTAACTTGTTATACTGTGTTAATTCATTAGTTCAATCATTCATTCATTAGTTCATTCATTCATTTATTCATTCATTCGTTCGTTCATTCACTTATTCATTTTGTATAATTTAATTTACTTTTTTAAAATCAACTTCTAGATGTGCACCGCTATATCCTGATGGCCAAAACAACAGTCTGTACAAGATATTTCACTTTGTGAAGTTTTTTAATTTTTCCATTTTAATTCTTATTTTTGCAAGAATTAATTAAATTAATCAATGATATATAATTAATATTATTAAAATAATATTAAGTGAAATTTTTTTATCTGTGTGTGTATTTCAATGAATTTTTTTAAAAATTTCCATCAGATAGTTCAGCAATTCCAAAGAACAGAAAAGACCACACAGCCTGTGTGTACAAAAATCATCTGTTTATCTTTGGTGGATCAATCGACTTGTTGGGGCCGACGAACGAACTCTGGTCATTCGATTTAGCACATCCCTGCAATGATGAATCGACGTCATGGCAGTTACTATTTCCCGTCAGATTAGGCAATAATTGTAGCAATAATAATTCTAACTCTTACCAATCACAAATTTATCAACCTCGTGAAATGAGTTTAAAAAATGACACATCTGCAGATTTCAAACCCCAAAATAATATCACTAATAATAGTAATTACAGAAAAGAGCACATCCCTAAACATGGACCCCAGCCTAGAATTAGGCATTCGTGTGTTGTCATCGACAGTAGCATGTGGATATATGCTGGCGAATGCAATGAGAGCGTTTATTCAGATTTTTGGAAGTGGAATTTTGAAGACTGCATGTGGAGTTCTATTAGCATCGGTGGAAAGTGTCCTTTGATACATAAACAATTCTCCACGGCACCTTACCACAATACTAATTCAGGGCTTTTATTCTTAAATTATTCGACAAACAGCAACGCTTCTAATAGTTTCAGCAGTAGTTTGGGTAGTAGTACTTCTAGCAGTAATAGTAACAGCAATGAGGACGATGACTTGAAACTTGAAATTTTTCTCTTAGACTTGCATAATTTAACGTGGAGCAAGCCAATTTACACGCATACGCTGTCACAGCAATCACATTCAAACGCCTTTCCGACTGATTTCTTAATCTTCATCACCACCACGGCGCCTCAGACTTGTAAATTTTTATCCATTTCAGAAATTGAACTATCATCACTTCATTGTCAGAGATTGAGTTCCTGCCTAGTTAACAGTAGCAACTTTAGCCACGGGTTTTACAATCCTAGCTTTCAGAGCCATAGCGCTTTAGATATTAATAATGATATTAACACGCAAATTACACAGTCTATGCACATAGAAGCTGTTGAAGCTTTGAAGAGAAAAATTTTTAAAAGATTTCACAGAAATTCTCGCGAAGACCTCGTGTCTGGTAGCAAAGTTAACATAGAAATGAGCTATCTAGGAGGTGATGGGGGCAGAAAAAAAGTGGCGAAACATTCTGAGAATAAGAAACTTTTGCAGACTGCAACTAGTCAAACCACCATAATTACTATCGATAATATAAATTCATCACTCTCAAATAGTGGTGCCGGCAGTGTGGTAGATAATAGTAGAGCCGTGGAATATTTCGATGAAAATAAAAGAGGTATTTCGGAAAGATTGGTAGAATGGCGCAATAAGAAAATTAGTAAAAATACTAACACCGGTAGTAATTTAAATGGTAATAATAGTAGCAACAATAATAAATTTAATAATAGTACCAGCTGTGACCTCATCGTTGACCTTTACATGATAGGGGGAAGGTTCAAAGGTCAAGTTGCTAGCTCTCCGATGCTTTTTAAATCAATTTCTTTGGATATTAATTATTAATCGCTGATTAATTGGTCTTAATTAATTGATTAATTGCTTTTAGATCTGTATATTTTATATGTCCTTTGATTTTTTAATGATATATTATATTTACTCTTTCGTTTCCAAGTTCAGTATTTTGTTTTTAAAATTTATAAATTAATAATAATAATTATTTTTATTATTATTATCATTTATCTCGTGTTTTGAGTTTATAAGCGTTTTATCTTGCATGTAATGTCCTTTTATTCCATATGGACATGAATGTGGTCCCAAGATGATTTAATTATGTTCCTATTTATCTATTTCGACATAATGCACACATGACAATTCATCTATAATTATTTTAATATTATAACAATCATAATAATAATTATTATTTTTATTGTTATTTTAGATTATTTTATTTGTATAAATATTTCGCTTTGCACTTGAATGTGTTTGTATTCAAATTTATTAACTCACACACACTTTGTGTCGGTGGGTCTTTGTGTAACACATTAAGTGCAATTTACTCTTTTTCTCTCTCTCTCTCTCTCTATCTCTCTCTCTCTATCTCTCTCTCTCTTTCTTTCTTTCTTTCTCTCTCTTTCTCGTTAGATGTATAGATATTTTTCCATTGGTTTCATATTACACTTGTCTATGTATCATTTATTTGTATCTGAGTATTATTTATTTGTATCTGAGTATCATTTATTTGTATCTGAGTATCATTTCTTTCTATCATCGCCATGACTTAATTAGGATATTAATTGATAATTATGATTGATTGGCCGATTGAGTGATTGATTGGTTCCTTTATTCATTTATTCATTTGTTCGTTCATTAATTCATTCAATAACTAACTCATTCATTGATTCATTCATACTAATTGATTGATAAATATTATATATGTATATGTGTGTTTGTGTGTGTGTGTCATTGTTTTACATGCCCTTTTCGTTACACGTACATCAAAAACTTACTTTCTTATTTTCTTATTCAGTTGATAATTTCATACATATATTGCATATATAGAAAAACATATACATACATAAGCAATAATATATATCATATAGATGTATGCTACTTATATATCGAATTGTATGTATCAGTATGTGTTTCTTTGTGCCGTTTTTAATATGAAAAACTTAGAAAAGTTATGATTTTGTTTAACTATATCCAAAAAGACTGAAATTAAGTTATACACACACATACACAAACATACAACACAAACCTATCCACAGATAAATACACACACACACTCACAAGCAAATAACTCTGCTCCAAATCAAGATACAAACGCGTGTAGGCTTTCGCGTACGTCAGTGTACGTTGTGCATGGAATGGAATGGATGTACATTGTACACACACAGCTATCATCCGTCTATGTGTAAAGACTCTGTATATATATATATATATATATATATATGTGTGTGTGTGTGTGTGTATGTATGTGTTTGTGAGAGAGAGAGAGAGAGAGTAATGTGCGTGTGTATCTTTGATTGTGGATACATGTGTGCGTGTGTACATTTTTCAGGAAAAAAAAAAAACTGATTTTTTTTTCTTTGCCATCTTTATGACTTCTTCCAGAGAAAAATTATCGTCTCATCGTAAACATTTTTCTCTTTTCATCTTTGTGGGAGGAAAAATTTTTTTGAAATTCTAAGAAATGAGGTCGTTGTAAATAATTTGACGCCCGAACGCGTACATTTAAATGGATGCCTAACTGCCTATTTTTGATACTTTGCGGTATGGTGCCTATTTTTGTATTGCTGTATTCGCCCGTGGGTATCTTCACTGGCATTTTACATATAAAAATACCTCTGATTTCAACATACCTCTCTTTACATATAAAAATACCTCTGTTGGATTTTTTAAATAATTTCTTAAAGTAATTTTTCAGCACGTTTTTCCAGTGTGCTTGCTGGCGTCTGCCGTACGTACACTAGATCACTAGAGGTCTATAATGATTTGTAATATCGGGTATATCTAGGTATTTCTGGGTATCGTTCTAGATACTTTTGGCGTATTACCTAGTGCTCATGTTGTGGCTGGTGTCGTATCCAAATTTTTGCAAGCCTATGCTGATCAATAAATTATTTAAATTGCGTAAAGTCAATTCATCATCATCATAATCCTTATTATTACAATTATTTTTATTATCACTATTATCATGTGATTAGCGTTGGTTAGGAAAAAACATAATATAAATAGTGATAATATTAATGAACAAAAATTTAAAAATAATAAATATTATTATTATTATTACGTTTTCAAAACGCTATAAAAGAAAATTTGATAAAATTTACAATATCAATATACAACAATCATATATAAATATATATGATATATATATGTATATATATATATATATATATATGTAGTAATCAATGATTGGATATACGGTTTTTATTGAATTGTGCTATATGATATGGTTCATTAATAAATAAACAGGTAAATAAGTTAATGTATAAATATATATATATATTATATATATACATATATATATATATATAGCTTATATATATAGATAAATATATATACATGTAATATATATATGAAACCAGCGTGTTAATTTATTTAAAATTACAACAATCAACAAATTTTGAGAATATTGATAGTTGAAATAATAACACTAATGATAATAATAAACAGAATGGCGTCATTGTGACGTCAAAAAATAAGAATGCGTTTTGTACTTCCCAGAGCAGAGGCGCATGGATTTTAAATTAAGTTATTTGGCGCTACGGAAAGGTCCAACTACTATCCATTATTTATACAGGGATGCTTTATTGTTGATAGCAATAATAATAATAATAATAACAATCATAATTATAATATTATTATTATTCAATTATAATTTTTAATGCAGGTTGTTATGAATATTAGTTTATTTCTCTGACCACCTTATTGTAACTTTCACGTTGATCTATTTACACAACTAATTTAATTTGGCATAAACGTCTTGAGCATTTTAAGCTTTGCATTCAAAAGTTGATCTAATTATTTGGAAAAAAAACATAATAACAATAATAAATTATATTATTGTCATAAATATTAATGACAAATAAATAAAATAATTATAATTCATTGCGAGATAATGACATTGTTAGCCATTTCATTGATTGCATTTTGATGACCAGTGTGAATGCCGTCACAAATATTCATACATGATGACACTTATGGTTTTGTCTAAATTAAGATATATATATATATATATATATATATATATGTGTGTGTGTGTGTGTGTGTGTGTGTTTGTGTGCGTCTGGTGAGTAAGTGACGTATGTGAAAATAACTATTCAACATGATTTTGAAGGATGGATGAATGACAGGGTTTTGATGAATGAATGAATAAAAGCGTGGATTATGTAATGTATGAAACAGAAATAATTTCAATGATTTTTACAAAATATATTATTATAAGTAGGACAAAAGGAGAGAGAGAGAGAGAGAGAGAGAGAGAGAGGAGAGAGAGAAAGAGACCAACACAGAAGAAAGAAAGAAATTTTCCTCAAAACCCTCCCCCTCAAAAACGGTTTCATCGTCGTTTCTTGCACCAATCCCGAACTTATAAACTCTTCTACGAGAAATTTTTTTTTTTAAAATACAACAAACAATAGTAAATAACAATAAGAATAATGAATGACAATAATAAAAAGTCAAGGAAAGATGAAAAGTGAATAAGGATAATAATCATAATAAATAAATAAATTATTGCATGAAAAAATCCGGATGATTCGGATCCGGTGGGGTATCCTTCTCGAACCGCCTGGCCTCCTCTTGCATGCTCTGCTTTATTTTTAAAATTTCTGCCGATTCACTGTGGTTCTAGAGGAGAAAAGAATCGGCAAAAAGACATAAAATCGATTGTATCATTGATTTATTTATTAATATAATTATTATTAATAGATTTTGGTTAGCTCAGGCAATAAGTGCGTCATCATATCCAGTGTCGTTATCACGCTCAGACCTAGTTCAAAGCCTACTTTTTTCGGTACTCAAAAAGACTCACATCTTTCATTTATATATAGGTCGTATTGTGTAGTTGTTGCGTATAATGACAATGTTCAAATGCAATTATGTAAAGAATTATACTTGAATAACATTTTTAAGAACCAACAAAAATTTTTAAACTTCGAACCGGTGTTAAATTTTCTTGAGGATACGGTAGTTGAGAGTTGTAGGCGGAAATGTCGCCGTTATTTGGCGGGACATCGTCACGTGGTGTTCCTGGAGCTCCTCCATTGTGTGGAGAATTCTTCATTCCCTCCACTAGCCGTTCATCTGATTGGTTGGCGAGGTTTTTAAGCGATTTTTGATTGGTCGACGAGGTTTGTAGCGTTCGTGTTATCAATTTTAATTGGTTAGCTATGTTTGTAAAACGATTTCTGATTGATTCTGTCCTTGTAGTTATAATTAAATAAACATAATTATATTGTAATAATTATTATAACCATAACAAAAAAACAAACTGTGTAAATATTGGCCATTCATAACGCGAGGCATGTCGGGACCCATTGGTCCTATGACGCTTTCGGGTCCAGTCATTGGAAATGGCTGAAAGTTTGTATGTATGTGTATGTATGTCTGCGTATGTATGTGTGTGTATGTATGTATGTGTGTGTGTGTGTACGTGTGTGTGTACGTGTGTATGTACGTTTATACGATTCCTGCCTACCATGTTTGGTTTCATTATGCCGTACATATTATCTCCTGAATGCGTTGAATCTGCAAGAGCATGGATGAATGAATGAATGAATAAATGAATGAATGAATGAATGAAAAAATTAACAAAAAGTTAAAAATGGATAAATGAATGAAACCTTGGGGGCTTGGCATTATTGGTGTACCGGGAGCTCCGGTCCCGCTAACAGGGCCCTGAGGAAAAAATTTTATTTAAATAAATTAAAAATTAAAACAAAATTAGTTTTTTAATTAAGGATTTATAAATTAATAAATAGTTTAAATGGGAATTTAAATGATTAATCAATAAAATAACCATAAAAGTTATTTTTTGTGAGATTTCAAATTGAACTGCAAGCTTAGCTAACGTTAAAGTTTCCCGGCGACGGTGCGTTATAAATCATCTGTAAATGTCAGACAGGTATGTTTTTTGTTAAATTTCAAGCAAATTTTTTAAAATGTCAATCGAAAAGTCAAGCAGGCTACCGACCAATCAGCTAATCAACCAATCAGCTAATCAGCCAACCCACCCAACCAACCAATCAAGAAATTGTTCAATCCTCAACCAATAAGCTAATCAATCAATCGCATAATAACTAACCAGCCAACCAACTAACCAACCAACCAACCAATCAATCAATCAAAAAACAATTAGAACAGGTAAACAAACCCCTTGTGAAGATGGTGGCCACGATCGTCCGCCATTTGGACCACCCCTGCATAAACAATCGATCAACCGATCAATCAATCAATCAATTAAGCAATCATTCGTATACTCATTCATCAATTCATTTAATAAATTTATCAATCATCAACTATAATAACAACAATGATAATAACGATAACTATAAAATACTGACATAGGTATGGGTGTCATATTACCCCCTCCGGCAGTCCCCATGTTAGGCCCTCCCGGACCCATGCCTGGCTGAGGTGGGCCTCGTAAACCACTGTAGTTCTTTTTTATGTTGGATGAATGAATGAATAAATGAAAGAATGAATTTATAAATAAATGAATGAATGAGAGAACTATTGAATGAATGAATGAACGAGAATTCATACAGACATTTAAATCGACCATGGACTGATTGAGCGGACTTTGAATCTGTCCCGGACCAGGATGTGGAATCCTCTGCATCATGTGACCTGTATTGTTGACATAGATGTTTAAATCGTTTACATAGATATATTAACTGTTTACATAGATAAATCAATTATTTACATAGATATGTTATTTGTTTACATAGACAAATCAATCGTTAACATGGATATTTTAATTGTTTACATAGATATATCAATTGTTTACATAAATATTTTAGTCATTTTAGGAGATTTACTAGTCGTTAGCATTGATATTTCGTAACCCTACTCAAATATTTAGATTTTTTCTACATAGACAGCATAATTTTTAACATAGAATATTTAAATGTTTCCATAGATGCATCAATTGCTAACATAGATATATTAGTTGTTTACAAAGGCAAAAATTATTTGTCTACTTTTTTATATTGATCTCGAAAAAAAAACTTTATTTTTTGAAATTTTCTTTGATAAAACCGAAAGTGATATGCCTTCTTATTGTAACTTAGACGATAATTGATGTCTGTTTTGACTAACAATGTCTACATAGATAAATATACACATAGATGTACATTTCTATAAGTATTTGTTTACATAGACATCTATTTACATAGATATTTGTTTACAGGGATTTATGTTTCAAAAGATATTTATTTAAAGAGTTGTATCCAATGTGACGCCATCGAAAATACGTACGCAACGCAAATGACACAAAGATGAACACACATGCACATACAACCAAGTGTATTAGTACAGCAAATATGTGCAAACTGTGACATTTTGTATAATAAAGGAAAAGACTTTTTGTAGTAAATACATATAGAAAAATTTTTCAAAGCCTACAGCCATGCACATATTAATTAAAATATGCCTAATACACACACGTACAAACATATACACACACAAACATACATACATACATACATAGATACAGATATACATACATGCATACATACTTACATGAAATGTGTGTAGATTAGATACAAAAGAAAGCGTTTTTATGTAAGCTTTTGCGTGCAAGTGTGTGGTATGGGCGTGTATTATATTGACATGTGTGTGTATATAGACAAGTATACAATGTTCGTCTATGTTATTGTGTGTTTGTTTGTGTGTGTGTGTGCGTGTGTGTGTGTGCGTGCGTGTGTGTGTGTGTTTGTACATGCACTGCAAATGCACATAGGAATATTTACAATATAAGCGCCATATAAAACGTACTAGGAAATAGAAAAACTATCATCAGCGAAGATGACGTCACTGGCGTCTTCGTCATCATCATCATCTTCCTCTCCTTCATCATCATCATCACTATCATCATCATTTCTTTTCTTTTTAACCATTGCCGTCAATTATAATTTTACGTATTTCCTCTAAGCGATCATTATCATTATTGTCATCATCATCATCATCATCTACATTTTGGACATCATCATCATCCTCGTCATCAGTTTTGACATCATCATCATCACCACCACCACCATAAATATTCATTCATTTTCTTAGTCGTTACATCATAGTAAAAATTTTAAACATATTCATTGTCGCATTAAAATTTATTTTTACAATTACAAAATTACTCATCATCATAATTCTCAACGCCAGCAGCAGCAGCAGCAGCTGCAGTAGTAGCAGCAGCAGCAGTAAAATCAAAAAATTTCATCATCACCATCATCATCATCACCATCATCATCATCATCATCATTGTTACAATCGTACGCGATGTCGTCGTCATCTCATTCAGTCATGAAAATAAAGTCTACAATAGCAGGAGCAGCGAGAATAAAAGTAGTAGTAGTAGTAGTAGTAGTAGTAGTAGTAGTAGTAGTAGTAGTAGTAGTAGTAGTAGTAGTAGTAGTAGTAGTAGAAGTTGCTGTAGTATGCAGTAGTAGTTTCAAATATATATTAATACACTGTAAATAAACATGATGATGAAGATGGTGATGGTGATGATCATGAAGGTGATAATTAATTAACCGTGTGATGATGATGATGAAATGAAAGTAAGAAAGAGAGAGAAAAAGAAAAAGAATGAGAGAGAGAGAAAGGAAGAGAGAGAGAGAATGATGATGGTATCGAAGATGATGATGTTGTAGCAATAGTGGGAGAGAATAATGATAAAGTGAGTGTCACGAACGTTATATATATATATATATATATATATATATACAAACACACGCACCCACACACACACATATATATATATGTGCATATAAAGTTATAGGAATACATATAAGTATAAAAACACATACATACACTCCCTCATATACATGGATATTGCATTATATACTGTTTGTATATGAACAAGGCAGATGTTTGTATATCAGCAAGGCAGATGGACTGCGTGGGAGAGTGTGCTTCAGAGGAGTTTGACGTGGAATGATATGTGGAACATCGCTCCATTAAGAGCCATGTAAGAATAAGCTACCATCAGGGGCAAACCTTCCTAGATGGAAGTAGCAAGTGTAGCTAAGTGTAGCTTATGTGAAGAAATGGCCCCGGTGGCCCCGGTGGCCACGTAATAGCTTCCTTCAAGTACGCACTCGAGACCCGACGTAGTGGTACAGTCCGTACAGCAGACACTGTTATTTATTTTAGTCGAACTGACTGTACCGTATGAGGCTAATATAGCTGCAAGTCACGCGACAAAAATTGCCAAGTATGAAGAGCTCGTTAGTGAGATAGGACAACGTGGGTTGAGGTGTTTGTTGTACGCAGTTGAGGTCGGTGCAAGAGGTGTCGTTAGTTGTTCAGTGTACAGCTTTTTGAAGGATTTGGGTTTGGCAAGTGAAAGACGATCGAGTTGTATGAAGAACATAGGACATGCAGCCGAACAAGCGTCTCACTGAAGATGGTTATGTAAGAAGAAAAAGAAATGCGAGTTTAAATAGTTAACAGACGAGCATGTGAGCACGTAAGGCTTCCAATTACTCAACACTCCCAGATTCGGCTTAAAGTGTTACTTGGCTCGTCGATATAACTCACATCGTGATATGCTTATATGTGAACTGTCTGGCACGCCAAAACAATTTTTCAGTATAGAAGGAGGTGATTTCAAAGCGAGGCAAGTTGTTTGTTCAGCAAGAGACATCCAACTGATCTCTGGATGTGGCCCTGTTTCTCGAGAGTGCCAGGAAGTTAAAGGGCCAAAACACTCGTTGACGGAAACCTTTCCTCCGAAGACTCTCGCTGATCGCTCATTATGTTCGAGTTTCTGCATACACATGGATATCGCATATATACTGTTTGTAAATAAATACAGAAGGCCATACTGTATATACACACATACATACATACATTACATATATATATATATATATATATATATATATATATATATATATGTATATATATACTATATTATATATACATACAATTAAAAACATTATATATACACATATGTATATAATATACACCTACAAATACATTATATATATATATATATACATACATACATACATATAAATAAAGAGAGAGAGAGAGACTATTAAGTATGGCAGACCAAGCTTGCTATGAATACAAGGATGAGAGCAGCAGCATAGAAAATTATTGATCTATTGATTTCTATGTTGTATGTGCGCGGTGTGTGGTGTGTTTGTACGCCTTTTTGTACACACACTCGCACACACATACACACACACTTGTATGTATACGTATCATAATATTATTATAATTTATAATTAATAATATTATTATATTATACGTATCATAATATTATTATAATTATATATACGTATTATAATATACAAAGGTATATATCATGTATATTCATTCATGTTTGTTTTTATGTGTGTATGTATTTATGTACCTATGTATGCATGTATGCATGTATGTGCGTGTGTGTGTGTGTATATGTTTGTTTACTTTTTATGGAAGCAAAACAAACACGCCATATAAATAAACAAATGTAATTTATCAGACGCTGAATTATGCAAGACTATTGTATGTATATGTGTGTATATTTGCATGTATGTGTGTATGTATGCGTGTGTTTGTGTGTGTGTGTGTGTGTGTGTGTGTGTGTGTGTGTGTGTGTGTGGACATGTATGTGTGCATATGCATGGGCATGCACAAGCAAGCTTTGATTTTTTGTACGATATCCTTGTACGATATTTATGTACAGGGCATAAAGATGTCAAAACGTAACGACAAACAAAAAGGTATACAAATACACACACACAAACAAACACACATACACACACACATACACACGCACACAAACACAAACAAACAAACAAACCTGGTCTCATATCTACGCCACTTGGTATTCCGGGCCCTGGACCCTAGAAAAAAAGAAATACTACTACTACTACTACTACTAATAATAATAATAATAATAATAATAATTGTATTAACAAATTATTTTCGTATTACGGTTTTTATTGTTGTAATTTTTATTATTACGAACTAACGCACCGTAAAATCCATATGCGGTGGCATCCGGACTAAACCTCTGGGACCAGGGTACCTCGGAGAAAGGAAGGGCTGATAATGATGATGATGATGATGATGATGACGACGATGATGATGACAATGATGAAGATGATGATGACGATGATGAAAATGATGACGATGTGATGAAAATAAATATGATAAATCAACTTTTCTTTTTTTTATTACGGAATTCTGGCAAACTCATGGCTACTACTTATGCTTACATGTCATTCTAGAATTCTAATTAAACTTTCTTTGTACAAAGCCTATAACAACATCCACATTACAGAACTTTCATTCGCACATACACACACGAATACCAAGAACCTACATACACATACACACATACAAACCAAGGACTTATATACACATACACACACATACACATTCTGTATGCATGCGCAAGCACCGCATCACACGCACCTAGCGTATGATAGTTCTAAAGTTTCAGACAGACAGTAATCGAACCAGGTCCTCACGCAATAGCAACGCGAGACATGCATAGCGCTTCTACCAACTGAGCTAACGCGCCAGCCTGTATCATTACCATCACAGTCCTCATTAACATTACTATCAGGATTACCTGTCCGGGTTGGGACATCATTTGGCCGTGCATGGGATGTGGAGACATCTGGGACGCTGGATGGGTCGGCGATGGATGACGCATGTGTGGGTTCTGCCGGAAGTGAATGAATGAATGAATGAATGAATGAATGAATGAATGGATGGATGGATGGATGGATGGATGATTGGATGAATTAATAAATGAATGAATGAACTAACGTGTGCATTGCCGTTCATACCGTAACCAGGATTGACGAAGCCCTAGATGAATAAATGAATGAAAAATTGGATAAATGAACAAAAAAAACAAAAAAGAAATAAATGAATGAATGAATGAAGGAGAAAATAAATGAATGAAAGATTGATTAATTAATAAATGAATGAAAAAGTTAGTTGAATGTACAATTCAAAACAAAAGAACATACGAATGAATGAAAAAATAAATGAATGAATGAATAAATGAATGAATGAAGGAAGGAAGGGAAAATGAATGGAAGCACGTATGCACGCATGTACATTGATGTATGTCTGGTCATTTCTATGATAATCTCAACGACCTAACTTAACCTACACAATAAATTCTCCAAATAGCCGTGTTTGAATGAATAAATGAATGAAAAAATGGATGAATAAGAAATGAATAATTGAGAAAATGAAAAAACGAATAAGTGACGAGAAAATAAAAAAGTGGATGAATGAATGATTGAGTGAAAAATCGCATACAAATTTCCTAATACAAATCTGGAAACACAGAATATGAACAAACATATAAACATGCCCACACATGTACGCCCACACACATACACACACACACACACACACACACACACACACACACATAAAAATACACACACACATCCTATTTTTACCACATCTCTCTCTCTTTCTACCTCTTGCTCTCTTTCTCCCTTCTTATTCCTTTGTCTCGCTGCTTTTTTTTCAACAGATATATACACATACATTCACACACACCACAGACACACACACACCACACACACACACAGACACACAAATACCACAGACACACACACACATACATAGATAAAAAATAGGCATAGCACACAAATAGGCATACAAATACACGCAAACACGCGTTGTATAAAAATCTCAGAGGAATAATAAAGGCATCTCCCTAACGCACGCACGCACGTACATGTGCAAAGCCCTGCGTAAAAAACAAACGTAAATCAGTTACTACGTTCAGAAACCTGCCTTTCTCTATTTCTTTTTTTGTGTGTCCTCTCTTCCACTCTCTCTCTCTCTCTCTCTCTCTCTCTCTCTCTCTCTCTCTCTCTCTCTCTCTCTCTCTCTTTTCTCACATTTCTTTCTCTTAACATACTATCTCATTTTTCGTATTTATCTACTTTTCTTTTTTCACGTTTATACATCTTTCTCTCTCTCTCTCTATCTCACATTTTTCACTTTCTTCGTTCTTTTATTCTAGCAATTGCACACACACACATACACACACATACACAGAGGCACACAGATAGACACACAGATATACATAAACGCAAACATACAAAACAAACAAACAAAAACCCTTACACAAGCCCACACACACACACACACACACACACACACACACAAATATCAACATGTCAACAGAAATCTATTGCATAATCTCATCAACATCCTCCTCCTCCTAATAATAATAATAATAATTATTATTATTATTATTATTATCGGTCGCAGTAGTAGCAGCAGCAGCAGCAGTAGCAGGAAGTTAAAAGCTCAAATTAGCCATGATTATCGGCCTAATTGTTTAACGGTAAAAAAAATAATAACAATAATAATAATAATAATAACGAGGATAATAATAATAATAATTTGTTCTCATAATTGTATATAATTTCTTTTTTTACAGTTAGATGGGCCATTAAGTAAGGCCATTACTAGTACTACTACTATTTCTACTACTATTACATAACTACTGCTACTGCTGCTGCTACTGGTGCTGCTACTACTAATGGTGCAGCTACTGTTGCTACTACTACGACGACGGGTTAGGGTCAACACAACACACACACTTGTAATGAACGAACGAACGAATGAACAAACGAACGAATGAATGAACAAACAAACGAAAGAACGAGCAAATAAATAAATGAATGAATGAACGGATAGACGGATGGAGGAATAAAAAAAAATAAAAGAATGAAGAAAAGGGGGAGGGTGATGCGATGAGAAGGCATTATCTGGGAACAAGAAAGAACATTGAACAGTATATCGCGGACATACTAATCACCATCATCAACATCATCTTTGTCATCATCATCATCACCCCCACCATTATGATTATTATGATTATTATTTTCACCATCGTTATTATCATCATCATCCTAATCAACAGTAGCAACAAAACTTTTTTCATCATCATTGAAACCATTTGAAAAAAATGGGCATAAATTAAGTTTTGCAGTAGAGTTGTAAATACAATTTTAGCTTAATACACATATATACAATACAAATACAGTTGAGGATACAAGGGAGAAAAGCCGAAACACTCCGTGGCATGGTGTGCAATCACCATGCTAATAACTTCGCTGAAATCTAACAACGTTTGTCCGCGCGTATCCACGCGTTTTTGTATGTATGTTTGTATGTTTGTTTGCATGTCTGTATGTATGTTTGTTTGTTTGATTGTATGTATGTATGTATGTTTCTGGAATTTTGAATATACATCTATCCATCCATATTAGACAAGCTAGTAAAATTTTTGCAGGGCTAACTATAACATTGCATGTGTTTCATTTTTTTGCGTTTTGTTAGTATGTTTGTTTTGTTTCTATGTATGTATGTACGTCCGTATGTATGTATGTATGTGTTTAGTGTATGTTTGTTTTTCGTCGAGTTTTTTATTTAAACTAGAACGAAAGTTAAAAGAATGGAGACTTAATTAAAACATCAATCATTCTACTATCAATAACTATTATTAATTCATTCCCTCATTCCTTTGTTCGTTCGTTCATTCATTCATTCATTCATATATTTTTTTATTAATCAATTCATCTACCAATCAAACCATCATTCAATCAACCAATCAATCAACCAACCAATCAACTACAACATTGCCATTTCGTACGATGTACCTTCGATGCACAATTTAATTAATATTCATAAGGTTGATTAATATTCATAAGGCTAATTAATTATCATAAGATTAATTAATTTTTATGAGATTACCATCATCATCATCATCGTCGTCGTCGTCGTCATCAGAGTGTTCTATTGCAACGCATGTCAGGGTCACATAGAAAGATTCAAAGAAGAATGAATAAATGATTAAATGAATGAACGAACGAACATGTGAATGAATGAATGAATGAATGAATGAATGAATGAATGAATGAATGAATGAATGAATGAATGAATGAATGAATGAATGAATGAATGAATGAATGAATGAATGAATGAATGAATGAAAGAATGAATGAATGAATGAATGAATGAATGAATGAATGAATGAATGAATGAATGAATGAATGAATGAATGAATGAATGAATGAATGAATGAATGAATGAATGAATGAATGAATGAATGAATGAATGAATGAATGAATGAATGAATGAATGAATGAATGAATGAATGAATGAATGAATGAATGAATGAATGAACGAATGAACGATTAAATGAATAACAACAAATAAATGAAGAAAATGGAAAAATCAAAGAAAGAAGAAAGAGAAGCAGACAGAGAAAGAGAGAGAGAGAAAGAGAGAGAGAGAGATAGAAGGAGGGAGAGAACCAAAAAAAGTAAGAAAGAAGATATAAACAATAGAACTTTGAAAAACGTAAAAAATAACCCAAAAACGAATGAATGAATGAAAGATGAAAGAATGAAGGAGGAAACAGCTAACCAATCAGCAGAAAAGAAGGCGGAGCTAACTGTCAATAGACGCGTAAGAATACGTACAAATACGCACGCATACTTACGAACATACGCACACCTAAACACGCACACACATACAAACAAACACATTTATGCATATCTGCTTGCGCCTCAATTATTTAGTGGTAAGTTTATATGCATGGAAGTTTATGTATGTATGTATGCATGTACGTGTATATGTATGTATGTATTATTATCGTAAATTTATGTATGTATGTATATCTGAAAGAAATCAGTGTTTGTTGGGTAAATGAGAATTCAGCATTACAGCACAATGGTGTTGGGGTTCCTGGAGGTGGCATCTTCGGCCCACTGCAGTTCCTCTTCTTCATCGATGCATGCAACTGACTACTTCCAGGTTCCAACACGTCTGCCTTGCTGACGACTCCAACATTTTCGGTAGCGGAAAAAACATTGCTGATGTTGTTGATGAAACCAACGCTGAAATAGAACACGCTGTCAAATATTTCAATTGCAACTAATTGACTCTAAGAACTTCACAAACACAGTTGACCGTCTTCGGACCAGTGCAATGTTTAAATCATAAAGAACCATATAAAAGTCAACAACCGAGAAATAGTCGAGAGCGAGCAAAGCGGTGAAATTTTTAGGCGTTTAATCAGATGAAAAGTTAACTTTCAAAGCCCCTCTCAACTACGTTTCAAACTAGTTAGCCAAATCTAATTGAATAATGAACAGAATTCAATTTTGTCTTCCGAACGAAAAAATGCTTGAACACGATGTACATTTTCAATTTTGAGAACAAATAAAGTTTCGTTTCGTTTTGTTACGTTTCGTTCCGTTTCGTACGCATGTGTGTATGTATGCGTGTGTGCATGTACGTACGTTTACATGTTCTATTCTAATAACTCTTAATTGATCGATCCAGTGACTAGTCTTTGACAACAAAAACCACAAAACAAAAATAATAATAACAAAGGCTGAAACAACAACAACAATAATAATAATACAACAACAATAGCAACAACAATAATAATAATAAAAATAAAACATGGTAATGATGTTTTTGATACATGGAAAAGTTCACTGACGGGCCAAAGTTTGAATGGTGTTGAATGGTTGGCTACTGAATAATGATGATCATGATCATGATTATTATTATTATTATTAAGTTGGTGATGGTGATGTTGACGATAATTAAAGCATAATCTCAACCAGACTTTCAACCAACCAGCCAGCCAATCAATTACATCATTTAAATCATTAAAACAACATCCATTGCGATAATAGCAACAACAACAACAATAGTAATAATAATAATAAGTATAATTAAATTAATTATAACAATAATTAACTATAATTACAAACGTAGTCATGGAAAGCCTTAGCTTCGCTGGAATGTTCGCAAGTATCACGCCTCTCCGGAGCAGCGCAGTACAAATCCCAAAAAACACTGAATAATTAATTATGGATAATTATGAATAATTATGTATAATAATTTTATTATTATTATAACTTTTATTATTTTTATTATTGCTGCTTTCGTAATGAATGAGGTTTTAATGTTTGCAAGCAATAATGATGATGATTATGATCGGTGGTGATGATGGTGGTTGAAATGAAAATAATAATATTAAAAATTATAATAATAATAATAATAAAATTGGTGGTGGTGTTATTGTTGTTATTACTTGTAAAAACATTTTGACATTTCATTAGTTCATTTATTCAGTGTCATCCATCAATGCCTACACTCGTTCATCTATCCATCCATCCATCTTACGAACTGAATCATTCATCAATTCATTCATTCATTCATTCATTCATTCATTCATTCATTCATTCATTCATTCATTCATTCATTCATTCATTCATTCATTCATTCATTCATTCATTCATTCATTCATTCATCCATCCATCCATTCATTCATTCGTTCGTCCACTCCTTTATTGCTTCGTGTTCATTCTTGCGTTGCCTTTCGTTCCAGTAGAATGCATCCAGATTGAATATTTACGACTGTACGTTTTGTGCACGTGATCATACAAACATACATACATACATGCATGCATGCATGCAAGCATACGTACATACATACATGCATACATACATACATACATACATACATACATACATACATACATACATACAAACATACATACATACATACATATATACATACACACACACATATATAAGGATGTTTACAAAATCACAGATAAATGGAGGCTATTTGAAATAAGCCAACATGTCTATTCGTGATGAATGACGACGATGATGAAGAAGAAGAGGATGATGATGATGGTGAAGAAGATGATGGTGATGATGAAGAAGAGGATGGTGATGAAGATGGCGATGATGAAATCTTTGGAGCATTTGATTGACCGGTTGGCTGTGACCTATAGACATCCATTGTTGGTTGTCGGAGTTCGACAATGATGATGATGACGATGACGATGATGATGACGTTGATGATGATGATGACGGAGATGATGTTGATGATGATGACGATGATGGTGATGATGACGATGATGATGGCGATGTCGATGTTTTTATTTGTTGTTATTATTACGCATTTATACCAATCAATTTTTACGATCTTTCGCTTATTCATTTTTTCAGATATACAGCCATTTCTCCATCCATTTAGTCATTCATTCACTCATTCATTCATTCCTTCATTCATTCAATCATGCATTCATTCATTCATTCATTCATTCATTCATTCATTCATTCAATCATGCATTCATTCATTCATTCATTTATTCATTCATTCATTCATTCATTCATTCATTCATTCATTCATTCATTCATTCATTCATTCATTCTTTTATATTTAACCCATCCGTTCATCCAACTCTTGCTAGAAATTAAATATGCAAATGCGTTAATTAACAAGTAACAACGTGAAACTGGCGCGGAGGTTATTCAAGCTGCATGCACATGTATGTGAATTGTAAACACGTTCATTCATTCATTCATTCATTCATTCATTCATTCATTCATATTCATTCATTCATTCATTCATCCATCCATCCATCCATACATACATTCATTCATTCATTCATTCATCCATCCATTCATTCATTCATTCATCCATTCATTCATTCATCCATTCATTCATCTATTCATTAATTTGTTTTTATTCAATTCCTTCATTATTTCATTGAAAGCCTCAATTGAGTCAGTCAATTAAATAACATATCTTCTGTCATAATAATATCGTCAATGATGATGATGATGATGATGATGATGATAATAATAACAATGGTCTTACTAACCACCACCACGAATGAAGAAAGCCCGGAGGTTCCCCCAGTGTTATGTTCTTCTCCCACCGAATCTGATTAGAAATTAGGGAAAGAAATTGAATTAAATATTTTTTGAAGAAAAATATTGTATCTTTGATTTATCATTATCATTATTTGATATCTTTAGTATCATTATAATCGCCATCATCGTGAATAATAACATCATCATCATCATCAACAACAACTACAACAATATCATAATAAAGACCATCAGAAACAACAACATCATCATCATCAACAACATCGCCAAAAACAACGACACCATCATCATCATATAGACCATCAACAACACATCATCATTGTCATCGTCATCATCATCTCCATCATCTTCCCTCGCAACTGACTTCAGATAGAAAGGTCTGTGCACTTTTTTGAGCCCCAGTATGTAGAAGGTACTCGTACACGTATAAAGCCAGTCTGAAAATGAGAAAAAATAAATCTATTAATGAAAATATAATTATTAATTTATTTTAAAATTTAAAGTGGCAAAAGTAGGGCTCGTCCGGGATTTGAACCCGGGACCTCTCGCACCCAAAGCGAGAATCATACCCCTAGACCAACGAGCCATGTGAATGGCTTATCTTATTTTAGAACAGCGTGAATGCGTTCTCATCATAATATAATATAGCCAGTAACCACCATGATATACAGATATACACGAGTATAAATGACATATAAGGTTTTAAAAAAAGTTTTTTGTATAAATGTACTTTTCGCGAGCTTGAGCGTCAGACGGAGCTGTTGACCCCTTTCCTTTGGCGTACATTGCACTAAAATTCACTAACTCAGGTCGGAAAACGGTAATAATGAGTAATGAATGATAATCCGACGAAAAATAAAATACAGAACGAAGGCTACCGGACAAAGTTTTCGAGTCTATTCTTATCCGAAATTGATAAATTATGTGAATTTAATTACAATCATATTAAAAAACGGAATTTAGAAACAAAGTTAGCAAATATATATATATCCAAGATAAATAAACTGACTCCTAAATCCAAATAATGTTCAATTTTTAAAAAATTTAAGTCCCACAAACAGCTGACTACATTAACAGCTGATTGATTGAATTTAATTAAAAGTGCAGCTAAGTTATTAATTAAATTATTTTTCAACCATAGAATTCCATGTTCTTAGAATAGAATTCCATAGCAATTAACTTATTCGTTAATTTACACAAATTTGATATTAGCACAAGAATTAAAAATCACAAATAACTTTAACTTTCAACAGAATAAAGTACTAAAATTGTGAAATGTGTATTAAACAATTGGCAAATGCAATAAATCAATTAGGATGCTTATTATTAATTCGAGATTTCTGTCAATCACTTAGTTCAGATTTAATTTAAAGCATGCATACTATAACATGCATATCAAGTATCTATATAAACATACATAAACATACATGTATAAGTTTATACATATATACATATATTTTTATATAAACATACCTAAACATACATGTATGCTTATACACACACATACACATATATATAGTCATATATTTTTATGTAGTTCCATCCCATAGAATATTGTATTAAATATTTATATACAATGCTGTTATATTGTAGGTATAATATATTGGTACAATATAACATATTGCCCCATATGAATATAGAGTTAGGGGGAATAAAATACAGGTCGTACATGATTATATATCTAAGTCGTTCAATATATTCGCATATGACTATATATCTATCATATATCAAATGTAATATCATCACTGATCTGAATGTAAAATCGAGTTATATAGAAATAAGATTCAAATGTCAAAGCTATGGCATTATAGCATTAATTAAAAGATGTGAAGCAGAGTACAAGCGTCATCTTTGTTTAATGTCCTTAACTAAACATAACTTTATATTCACCTAGCACTACATACTGAATGATGCCTTGGACTCCAATTTAATAATAATTATGTAAAACTTAAAATTATGAACTTACTTATTGATTTACGACGTTAAATTTACAATACAAGATTATTCAAATAACTAAGTTTTTTCCTTTAATGCTATCTTATGGCCCATGTATTTATATCTATAATATATCTTTGGCAACGTTTATTTTATTTGGTTCGTTGTATGCCTCACCTACGTGTTCGATTGATGGCTGCCTTGTCTTTCTAGCTAGTTCACTAATTTTGTGAAATAAATTTATCGTTCAAGCATTTTTTGTATTACTTTACATTAGTGGTATATGTTTTATTATTATTTTCTAGTTCAGCTGCTTGGTTAAATTAGATGAAATCATTATCTAACCATTTTGTTTTAAATACAATTTCACAAATTTGCCTAATTGGCCAATTGGCAATTTAGTTTTGTAAAGTGTATTGATCTCAAATTAAACTCTAAATCAAACTAAAGCCAATTCAGTTTGAAATAATTGTTGACAGATACTAAAATTATTAACTACCTAAAATTAATTATATAATTTTATAATTTATTAAAAAACTAACTTTAAAACGTTCAGTAAATCTACCTACTGGCAGCATGGTTGAGCTGGGCCCTCTGGCGACAGGAACATTTCTGTTGAATACGTTATTATTTTTATTATTCAAGATTAAAAAGACGTTTGCAGTGGATGGGGTTTATTCATGTGACTGAAATTTACTAACAAAATCAGTTTTTTTATCAGCTAGTTTTTGAAAACATTGAGAGAAGAGTATAGAAGATAGATAGAGAGAAAGCAGGACAAGATGATTGGAAACCATCACCACCTCTACCTTCATCACCATGATCACCAGCATCATCATCAAAATCACCTTCTCCCCCACGCCTATCCTTATCTCTGTCATTAGCTTCATCAATAATAGGAAAAAATTCTGATCTTATTTCATCTTATCACATCACTACCCGGCATCATCCGATCCTAATTTTCCTAACCCTAACTTGAAGTGTGTCACAGGTTGATGATTGATAGATCTAGATTCGACAAATGATGATGAAGCAGATATTTTTTTATTGATTACCAATCAATTTTTTTTTTATTCCAAATTAAACTAAATTGAGTTACAACAAGAAAGAAAAAAAATCAACCATAACCAGTTAACTAATTAAATTACAAAAGTAGAAAAACAAAGAAGAGTAACTATGCAAAGAAAGAAAAGTGACAATCCTGGACATCCCCAATCCCCGACTACCTCTTCTACCACTACTTTGTTTTCTATGTTGTTGTTCATGTCAACAACCAATAGAATTAACTGAAAGAAAGATTGTAACTGATTCCCAATGGTGCCTTTCTTTACTTCTGTGGGACAAAAAAACCTGTAAAAGAATGAAGAGTTAATAATAATAATAATAATAATAATAAATAATAGTAATAATAATTTTTACACTATATTTCGTATTATTTGCTGTTGTGATAGTTGCATTTGAGTGTTAGAAATAGTTAATTTTTCTAGAATTTTCTATAAAAAGCACACAAACATTCGTTTATATATATATATATATATATATATATATATATATATATATATATATATATACATATATATATTCTTTCCGGCATAAGTTTAGTATATGTATATATATATATATATACATAAATGTATATATATATATAATTGAACTATATATATGTAAATAATAGCGTTTGAGTTGTTTTACAATGAAAGTGAATGAAATTATTGTATTGAGTTTAGTTGTTTTACAATGAAAGAGAATGAAACATTGATGATAATTGTTTGAACATTGATGATAATAACATTTTTATTATATAGAAATATAATACAAAAAAGTTTCATATAAGCTTTATAATATTAAGGTTATTTAATGTTAATTTAAAAAAATGATGATTTTGTAAGGCGAAAAACCCGCCAAAAGTATTAACCTAGACTAGCAATATAAAATAATTATCATATAATCAAATTCAGTCGAGTATACTCGTTTGTTTGCATATTCAAACAATGATGAAATGACTGACTGGATGAATGAATGAATGAATAAGTAAACGAGTGCAATGACGTCATCGTCAACATCATCATCTTTGTCGTCATAAATGGATAGAGATAGGAAGTACGCTATGAGATTTAGGCTTAGGAAAGAGCTGGAGAAGAGGAAGATGTCTCTAGCAGACGATTTTCAGTTCAAAATTTACTCCGTATTTCATTTTAAAGAAAAGGTGATTTGTCCTTCTTTCTCTATTATAATTTGTGATGTTTTTGTAATTTTAAAATTTAAGTTACATTTTATTACATTGTAATTATTATCGTTGTTGCCTTTTACCATTGTCGCAGTAACACATATTTTTCATTACAATTACAACAGCCTTGTACAGTTTTTGAATCAGTTGACATTGTAAACGTAATGACCAACAATCTCAAGGATCAGATCTACAAAAATGTGCGTTTGTGTGTGTGCGCGTGTGTGCTTGCGTACGTGTGCGGTGTGTTTGTGTGTGTGGTTATTTAATATGTATATGTGTGTACATGCTTTCGTTTAGTTTGTACATTCTGCTATACGGTTTTCTATCGTTCCAGTTTTCTAAATGTGGGAGTGTGCAGATGGCGCTAGCAGATGAGAGGAAGAACAACGACATCATCGGCAACAACTACAACGACAACATCAGTAGCGTCAACAACAACATGATTAGTGAGGCTGATGATATGTTTAGTAAGGATATCGTGCAGTTGCATCTTACTAGATGGATGCCTCATGTTAGCATTATTTTCTTTGTTTGACACACACAGAGAGAGAGAGAGAGAGAGAGAGAGAGAGGAAGCGAAAGAGGGTTGATGAGTGAGAGAGTGTGTGAGGGATTGTTTTTTCATCCATCTATCCATTTTTCCCCTAATTTTAGGTTGAAGATAGGCACGGACAGGCCTCCAGCGTTGATTTCCTTCTCTGCCCTCGTAGTGACGTCACAAAAATCGAATGCCGCCTGTTCTCAAGATGGAGAGATCAGCCTTTGCAAGCTTATTTACCATTGCAAGTAATGATTATAACGTTTGAAAATTCAAAAGTCACATTCTTCCTTACTACCCTTATTTCAACTTGTATTATCAACAACAAACACACTCAGAAACACAGACGCACACACTCTTAAATAAATATCTTAACGAAAATTACAAATGTTTATCCCTGACAGTGCAAGTTCATCTTGCATGCTGAAGAGTGGAACAAAAAACTACAGAAACTTACTACTACTGCTACTACTACTACTACTAATATTTCTACGTCTGCTGCTACTACTACTATTGACTCAAGTGATGTAAAGACGAAAAAATTGTTGATGGCTGGATCGGTTGAAAAAATCGTAGCCAACGAGAATAAAGATATGTTCATATTCGTTAAGAAGCATCAAGTACAGGTTAATACTTTATAATATTATATATAATATAATATTAAATTATAGTTGATGTTTTAATTAACGTAACGTGGTTAATGTGATTATCGTTTATATAATTATGACTAACTAGCCGTGATTAATATAATTATATTATGGTGTGATAGACGCATGTTGATAAATTATTTGGTTGATTGATTGGTTGGTTGGATGATTGATTGATTGATTGATTGATTGATTGATTGATTGATTGATTGATTGATTGATTGATTGATTGATTGATTGATTGATTGATTGATTGATTGATTGATTGATTGGGTTTGATCATTGGTTTCTGCAGACTAACACAGGCAAAGTTTTGAGTTTAATGAGAATGAACGCACTTTGCTTGCACGTGCCACAGGTTATTTATTATTATCAATAATATATTATTTAATTATAAATATCATAAATTTTATATAATTTTTCATAAATAATAGTAGAAATAATATAAATATTTATAATTACTTTTATTATTTTTCTTTTTCAGGATCAGCTGCTGTCGTGGGAACCACGTACCAGTTACGATGTCCTCAAAGATTATTAACTTTAATTTAATTAAATTATAATAATAATTATTTAATAATAATTATTTAATATTAATAATAATACCAACGCTGCTAATCAATAGTAAAATCAATAGTAATAAAATAATTGTGATTATTTTCATTATCACATTGAGATTACATAGTGTTTGCTAACCTTTTCTTACTGCTTCTAGCTATGTACCTTTGCGAGTGTGTGTGTGCCTGCCTTTGTGTATGTGTGAATACATATGCATGCGTTTTATGTGTGTATTCATGATGCAAATTTTTTTTAATTACGAACAATTGTGTGTATGGATGTGTGCGTTTGGTTGTGTGTGTGTTTGCGTCTGTGTGGTTATGTGTGGTTATAATTCTTAATGGGTGTGTGTACTTGCACGTTTCTATGCCTTATGTGTTTATCATTTTTGTGTGAGAATTATATTATTGAACGTTCGCATGTTTTTTGCATTTGTTGGTTAGTAAGGAAATTCCAATTTCTGAGTCTCTGGCTTGTTAATTTTTAACAATAATTTCAAAGGTTCATTTCAAATTTCAGTTGATCTCTATGGTCAAGTAGTCTCTATCGTCATCACTATATCTGTCTATCCATCCATCTATCTGTCTGTCTGTCTATCGTCATCTTGTCTTTCGCGGTTCTCATGACGTCATCGTCGTCCGTCATTATTTATCGTTTTTTATATTATAAAAGATTGAGAAACGGTTCTGATCGAGTTATGATTCGAACAAATAACGAACCGATAATGTCGATTCTTAGGTTTTAATAAGAGTTTACAGCGGGCTTGTCAGTTGACAGAGAATGTAGATGCAATTGGAAACTTAACTCTTTCAAGTTTAAATATAGTATTAAAACACTTCAAAAATATGAGAAAAACTGACTGGAAAGAGAAGGCTGACACTTGAAAATTCGAAGGCAGGTCAATGTTTTTGTTTATACTGGTATATAAACCGATGTTTTGATCGTCACGTTGTGTTTACAACGTACCACAGTACGCCCCTTCACATAGTGAACTTTGAATTGCTTGGGGTGTTTGCAAGGAATTTTCGTGCCTGTTTGTTTTTGTGTATGTATATGTGTGTGTGATTATCGAATTGAACGTATGTGTGTGTGTGTGAGTTTGTATGTATGTGTGTGTGTGTGTGTGTGTGGAAGTATGTTTGTATGTGAGTGTTTCTTATTACTAATTGTGATTGATTATAGGTTCAAGATTTTTTTTAGTGAATAAAATCAGAAAAAAATTTAACAATACTGAAAATAAGTTCGGTAATATAGTATTTAAAAGTAAAAATTTATCTCTCTCTCTCTCACACACACACAACCACATACTAACAAAAACACAAAAAAACACACACATATACATCTATACACGTCATTCAAATCAGTTACGGTTTGTAGGTTTATACAATATTGATTGTATAAAATACTGTAGTCTATATATATTATATAACATGTAAAAACACATAGGTATATACATACATATCTCGCACATAATTACACATACACATATAGATATGTATATATATATCTCAATGATATACGTGAATTGGTATACAATACACACACATACAAATATCCAGAACTTTGTATTTCTGTGTCATTGTTGAAACATTCTATAACACCGCTAGATTAATTTGTTCTTTAAATCATTTTTTCGCTGGTAAAATTATTCGTTTCATTTTATTATTTTTAAAAGTTGAGACTGCTACTTCTACTACGACTACTGAAAAATTATAACAGGGTTTAAAAAATTAAAATAGGAGAGAGGTAGAGAGCGAGAGACAGAAGGAGAAAGAAGGAAGTAAAAGACAGCAACTATAATAACAGTAACAACAACAACAATAATAATAATATTAAATTACTTTATGCTAATAATTAATTAAAACTTTTGAGGAAAATACTGTTAGTGATGTCAAATCCACCGACAGAACGGTTGAACGATAGTATGGAGGAGAAGAAGAACGGGAAAAATAAGAAAAGTAAATGAACTACTACTACTACCGCTGCTGCTACTACTATTACTACTACCACAGCAACTACTACTACTCTACTACTACTCTACGACTACCACTGCTACTACTACTACTACGCTACTACTACTACTTATAATAATAATACTATAAGCACCTATTATGAACATAAATATTTATTAATAGCAGTTGTATGTACATTAAAATATAATAATAAATAATAAATAAATAAATAAAATATACAAAAATAAAAAATAAAATAAATAAAATAATAAATAAATAATAATAAATAACAAATTTAATGATATCTCAATTGCCGACACATCCAGATAACGGAAAGCTACAGAAGCAGCCATCAAACGAGGAGAAATTTGACGGACCAGGAGTCAATTTTAAGGGGAAATTGATTGGATTTGAATCCGTCAGCGAGTCTAAAGGCGAGAGAATGTGCCAAGTGGCAATGGCTAAGCTGAAGGCAGCCGTGATAGCGTTAGGAGTGCACAAGGAGAAAATAACCCTTAATTTATCTTTAGAAGGGATTACTCTGTATGATGACAAGATGGAGGTTTGTGGCTGGTTTGGCTGGCTGTAGATTTGGGCTCTTATGTTTTCAGTTGTTTTAGACTTTTTTAAGGATTAGTTTTTTTTGGTTCATGTCGTTAATATGTCGTTACGTTAATGTTGTTGTGTTAAAAAACGCTCGGTTTTAAGCTACTAAAGCTAGTAAAAATACTTGTAAAATTTGAATTATTTAAATATTTTAAATGAATAATTGTCTATAATTAATATAATAATCTATAATTGATATACCTGAATGGGTTAATAATATTATAACATAAAGGACCAACTCTATCGTCACCTCATTGAAAAAATTTCATTCGTGTCTCGCGATGCCAGCGACTCGCGTGCCTTCGGTTACGTGTTCAATGAAGATGACGAGAAGTATCGGTTCTGTGCCATCAAGACGGAAAAAAGTGTTAGTCGTTGTAGTGGTTATGGTGGTGCTGCTGCTGTGACCGCAAAGAAATCTTCGCCAATCACATGCATTGTGTGTGCGCGCGCGCGCGCGTGTGTGTGATGCGTTGAATCGCGTGTGTACATGCAATTTTACATACAATGTGTTTGTGTTTGCTGTTTCATACTTCAACTGTTCGCCAGAACTTATTTACAAACACGTTAATCACTGTTTCTAATTTTATAGAAACAATTAATTAGAAACCACTATGAATATTAATTTATATAAATTTCGTGAAATACAATTAAAGTGAACTAATTAACTAATGCACTAATTAATAGATTAACTAATTAACTAATTAATTAATAAGGCTGAGCCAGTGATGGCGACGTTGAAAGAGCTCTTCAAGGCATACTACGAGAAGCAAGAAGGAAAAAGTGGAAATGATTCAACCAGCCAAACAGAAGAATCAGCTAATCAGACGTCGACAGCAGCTCAACCTTCTGATGGAGCTACTACGCCAGCTGCTAGCAACGCTGCTGCTGATAGCGTTTTACTGGAAAATAAAATTACACCTATGGAAAGTGTTAGTGATTTTTTAAAGTAAATTATTCATAAAACGATTTTTTAAAACTGCAAGTGTTGAATGTGTGCCTTTAAAATATATAACATCGAATAAAATTAAAATCGCTGCCCGTCGAATTGATTTCCCAGTTTGAATCGAGCGAGAGCAACTTGATATCTGTTGAGGCTGACATTTTCTCACTCAACATTTCATCTGGACCCACCAGTCAGCAGCTGTCGTTGCCAGCGTCACCACCGATGTTTTCCAATCAGTTGCAGGCCGCCCTGGCGAACACTTCCTTCGCCACTCAGCAAATTCCTCCTCCCCGTCTTCCTCCTCCTCCTCCTCCTTCTCATTTCGGCCAGCCCCACGCTATGACGTCACCGTTCTCTGGGGCCACCGTCAGAGCAGTTATGACCAATAACCAAGTAAGGGTTCTACTTTTTTTCATTTATTTCCAAAAAAATCTATAAAACGAAAAATTAATTTAAACTCACTAAAATATTTTCAACCCGTCCAAGGTTTCATTTCCAGGCCAGTTCGGATCGCCAGCCATCGCACAGCAGGCCCTCCCGCAACTCAATAACCAAAACTCGCTTTTCCAACAACCTCAGCAGTTTTTCAACACCCCATTCAGTCCGCAACAGCAGAGCAACAACGGGTGGACAACATTTGACAGCAACCAGCAGTTAATGGTGAACAACAACCCTACCAATCAGAGCAATCCTTTTGCGGCAGCTTTGCCTTTTTCCTCTCCTCAACAACTTCAACAACAGCCACACCACCACCAACAACAACACCACCAACTGCATCCAGTCCCACTTCAACCTCACCAAACAGTTGCGAGACCTACCTCCTCTGGTGTGGATTTGTTGTCTGACAGCGGTAAAACTTCAGCGTACGATCCATTCGGCGATTTGGCCATTCTTACAAAAGCAAACCCGCACACGAAAAAACCGAGCAAAGATGATTTTGTGAAGGAGCCTGCGAAACCTTCTCTGCACAGTCTTGCCACCCATCAACATGACAAACAACATTTTCTGCCCATACAACCAACCCAACCGCAGGCTTTCAATGACTTTAACTTGGTGAGTAGTATTGGTGCAACTAATAATATTAGAAATAATATTAACAGTCCAACTGGGAGTTATGATAGTAATGAGTTTTGTAGTGAGGTGGCCTTCATGATAGGAGGCGATAGACATCCTGCTGCTGCTGCTACTGCAGAAGCCATCAAGTCTGACATGAGGCCTCTCGCCCAAACTCAGCACAACAACTCGTCACCAAATTTATTTTTGCCCTTTGGTCAACTCGCCACAATTCCAACCCAATCACCGTCCATTCCCTTGCCATACGCAAACAAGCCGAGTCGTCCCATAAACATTGACTTTTCGGCCCAGAGATTCTCACCACTGGAAGATAGAAGGATCTTAACGAAGCCTTCCATGGTGGATTGGCTGAGCGAAGACGTTAAAGCAAAATCCATCTCGCCATTAAGTCCCACCGGATCTTTAGAAAGTAAGCAACAATCCTTCCCACCTTGTAGTAGAGGCGGTCCTGGTTGGTGCAACTGACTGCTGACGACTCACTTTACTTGATTCACGCTTCACTGCCGCTACTGCTGCTACTACTGCTGCTGCTGCTGTCGTTTGCATGTATATATGAGGTTAGTAAGTACAAATAACAAATGAATAAAAATTGAAAAATATAAATGAATGAATAAGTAACTGGAGGCTTTCGCGAGTAAGGTGCCGATGAGATGTTCTCCTCCATCCATCAGACGTCCTAATACACGAGCAGACCAAACTTCAACCAGTGAAGCAGAAATATTGCTAATTTTGAGTGAAGTAAATCAGTGAATAGTTGCAATGAAGTAAGAAAATAGTTACGCAAAATGATTTAAGAGTAACATTCATAAGCACACCCATCAATATATTAGACGATGAACGATAGATAGGTAATTCTGAACTTGCAAACAGCTCGTCGCGCCAAAGCTAAATTCTGGCCTATTTTATTAATAACGTAATATCATTATTATATTATATCATATTATTTAAATATTAACCAAATTAAATATTAATACAACTTATTCAAAACGGTCAACACGCTGGCATGTGTAAATAATCAGCTAGTAACCAGTGGAACACATAAAAAATTCTCTACAAAACCTACATACACATATCTGTATATACTGCATACAAAACTACATACCAATTTGTGCACACGAGTTCTGTAATGTGTAACGATTCTGTACATAAATACCTTGTATAAAGAATTTTCTAGATACAAATCATGAATACAATACCGGTATGGTATATACAAAGCCAGTGTGGTTGTTAAAGTGATGGAGATTCACATTCGCACCTATTCAAAGGTGCCATGTGTTTGCTGTTGTTACTGAAAATTATTATGTGAGAATTGAGAGAAATAATAATAAACAACTACATATAAAATGTGTACATACCAAAACTTTTGTATATTCAACTTTAGCATACAAAAATCTGTATATACAATGTATAAATATAATTTTGTATATACATTTCTTTTATGTTTAAAACCTCAATTGAACATGCACACCCTATTAACCATTGATTTCGTTTGTTGAAAGTTCTTTCGGAGTATAAGCCAATATATTATCAGTTTTTTGTATAACACACACACACATACACTCACACATACACACACACAAACAAACATACATACATACAAACAAACACAGTCATTTGACAAAATTGTTTATTACTGTTTAACTTGAAAAAAATGGGTGTTGTATATTTTTGTTTATAAAATCGAGAGACAGAACAGTTACCATTGATAGTTTGTTTAAATTATTTTATGTCTATCAAATCTATCTTCACACACACGCACTCACACACACACACACAAACAAACACACACAAACGTTTTTATATAGCTTTAAAATAAAATATTGTAAATATAGCTTTTCCTTTGTGTATGCCAGCTTCGCCAGAATCATCTCGTCTCATGACTGTTTTCAAAAGCCTCTAATTCATTTTCTTTTGATTTCAGAAATGCTGCTACTACTACTACTACTTCTGCTACTACTGCCACTACTAGCATTACTGCTACTAAAAATAATAATTATAATAATATTAATAATAATAATTTTTTTTTATTTTTAGGATATCTTTGGATGACTTAGCTGAATAAACTTCTTCCGAATTAGTTTGGTCTTCACAAATGATTGATCGATCGAATGCATTAATGGATGAATGAATGAATAGATGAACTAATTAAAGAATGGATGAATGAATGAGTGAATGACTTGTTGTATACTTTGTTTCATATTTTTGTCGAGAAATTTCAACTTTACTCTGACATTACTAAATATTTAAAACTTTTTGAAAACCGTTAATTTGTTCATTCTCTTGTTCATTTATTCGTTCACTCACTCACTCACTGTCTCACTCACATATTACGTTATAGGCAAACAAAACAACGAAAACACTACATCAACACCATCACAATTAGTATAATCCTTGTTATTCTTTTTCAATTTTTATTCATATTTTTGTATTTGTTTAAATCTTTGATGAGATTTGATGTGGAATTATGATGTGTGTGTGTGTTCATCTTCTATTTAAGAAATTTATTTCAGCGTTAACTTTTTTTCTTCATTCTGATTTACTATGCAATTCTGAGACGTTTAACGATTAATTTGAATTATTTATTTGTTAAATTCAATTCGTACATTTTGACGATCTAGTTCATTTGAAATTCACTCAATGAATTCACTAGAAATTAACACGATTGATTCATCGAATTCACATGAATAATTCACGTAGTTAATTCATCTAATTCACCAGATTCACTCAATTAATTCATCAAATTCACATTACACTCAAACATGATATATGTATATGGTTTATTATATATATAAAAAAACAGAGAACATTGACAACCAAATTGAGATATAAATTTGTTTTGGTAGTATTATATTGTAAATATATATATATATATATATATATATAAACGATTATTTTTGTGAACGTGTGTCTCATCAGTTGTTTGTAATTAAAAACTGTTGTTGAAAATTCGTAGTTTGACGAAGAACTTTACTTTAAATTAATACGACAATCAAACGATTGGTAGTTACTTGATTAGCAGTTAGCCAGTTAGCTTTGACCAAAAATAAAATTGCACTTTCATCAGCTATTGTTCGTATTTTTATTGTTTAACATAGCTTGAGTAAATATTTTTATAGCTTTGAATTTAAACTACTACGGCAAGCGTCACAACTCACTTTTTTGCATTAGGATTAACAGTTGAGACGAAAGTATTTTAACTTTTCATTTGTATCGCAAAATTTATAAAAACGCTCTAACCTGCAGAGTGTTCACTCCCAATAAGACAGAAAGAGCAAAGCACATAGGATGATGAAATGGATTTCAACCAATTTAAACTCATCAACGTTTAACTAGTGAGGTCTTTTGCCTTTTCAGACGATGATGAAACGAGACATGTGGAACTTTAATACTAATAATAATACACGCGCTAGTAAAATTAGTTGCAAACATAATTATAAAACTAAATCCAATTATAAAGTTAAAATTCCTTTTTACAAAAAATATTTACACATTTACAGAGTAATAAATAAATAATATAACGATGAACTCATTAAATGATTAATTAAGAAACAGTTAGTTCTACAAGTGTAGGCTTGTATGGCCTCTCCTTTTTCCCTGTTGATTAGGTATTTTTTAACCTTAGTTGTAATTACTCCTCTTGTACGAGTAGTTGACTGACGGCCAGTTAGTCTTTAATGAAATCGCTACTACTATTACTACTACTACTACTACAACTACTACTACAACTACTACTAAAAAGAAGAATAACAATAAAAACAGAAACTCACGATATAACAAACAAACGAACGAGTAGATGTATATAAGCCAGTTAATCATGTTATAATGAATTTTCAAGAATTTTAAGAATTTTTCTTAAAAATTCCTCTATTATTATTATTATTATTATTACTACTACTACCGCTAACGCCACTACTAACTTTACTTTTATTAATATTACTCAAAATATTATTACTATTACCACTACTGTCGCCAGTAAGTTTATTTTTATTATTATTATTTTTACTCGGTGTTTTATTATTACTAGCAGCAGTAGTAGTAGGAGTAGTAGCAGCAGCAACAAAAGCAGCAACAGCAGTAGCGTCACTGGCGACATTACTACTACTACGACTTGTGTTGCTGGCAACGTCATCATCTGGAACTCTGATGTACCTATTTATGATCTCGTTGTTCTGCTTGCTATCTTCATTGGCCACCCACATCAAAGCCCACTTCAAGTTGGTCAGCATAAACTTCAGGGCCTTTGTCCACTGCTCTTCCGAATTGAATTGAATCCTGGTGACGATGACAATGGTGATGATTGTGATTATGACTGTAAGTATGGTTGTGGTGGTGTGGTGGTGATGATGACGACTCTAGACTATAATGATGATGACACTAGATAATGATGATGACAATGATATGATTTCAATGATGCAATAATATAGATACACACACACACACACACACACACACACACACACACACACACACACACACACACACACACACACACACACATACATATAGACACACATATATAAACAAACACACGCGCACACACACACACACACACACACACACACACATGTATATATATATATATATATACACACACACACAAAAACGTACACACAAAAGCAACTTGATTGATACCACAAGCTAAATTCAACACATGTTTACATGTGTTGAATTTAGTAGATAATACACAAGCAAAAAAGTACACACAGATACACAGACACACACAAAAAGCACACACACACACAAAAAGCACACACACAAACAGACAAAGACACACCAAAGCTAACTTGATGGAGTACCACAGTCCATCTTCGACGTCTTCAATTTTACCTTTGTCCATTTTGTATGGCAAGCAGCAAGTTGGATCAAGCCTCTCTAACTCTTCTTTAAACTTTTAAGGGGAGAAAAAATTAGTGGAATGATGGAATGAAAGAATAAATGAATAAACGAGTGATTGAACGAACGAACAAATAAATAAATATTGACGTCATCGTCAGGACAAAAGACAAATCAATCGGCATATAAATAAGCAGACACACTTGCTGAAGGCAATCTAAAAAGGCGGCCATAGCTTGATCGAACCTGAAATGTGAGGTAATACAAATCATTATTTGAAAAGTTATATGATAATAACAATGACAACAACAACAACAAAAACGACAACAACAACGACAACAACAACAACAATAATAATAATAAAATAAGCTTACTTAGTGTCCCAGTAAAACTTAAAGGTTCCAAGTCCGTACAACGGGTACTTCTCCCTTTTCTCAGTAAGACATTCCAGGAAGGAATGATTGCCGTATGGAACCAAACGGTACCTTCGTTGTCATGTTCCATGTACGTGGAGAGAGAGAGAAAGAAAATGAATGAAGGAATTAATGAGTGAGTGAATGAATGAATGAATAAATGAATAATACAGAACTAACTAACAGATGAATTGAATGAAAAGTGTAATACGAAAATTACAAACACTTGACGAAATGAATGAATGAACGAATGAATGAATGAACAGACAAACAATCCAATAAATGAATGAATGTACGAACGAATGAACGAATAAATAAAAAAATAAACACCTCTTAAAAGTAAAATTAATTTTATTGGCTAGAGAATAGAGCAAAAGAACTGTCTGCCCCCAAGCAATGTTAATCTCGTTCCAATCAACCTTGTAATTATTATATTTCATTATTAATAATTTTAATTATAATTAGTAGAAGTAGCGGTAGTAGTAGCGGTGGTAGTGGTAGTAGTAGTAGCAGTTTTATTATTGATAATAATATTAGCAGTAGTAGAGAAAGATGATTACATCATCATCATTACCATCATCAGAACCCTCCTAAAAATCATCATCATCATCAATACCATCATTACAATCATCATCACTATCAACACCATTGTCATCTTCATCATCGTCATCTTACTCACTGAGATGCCAGGCAGTCTGCCCAGTCTGAAACCATTGATTGTACCAAATTGACCACTATGCCTGTTGCAAATGAATGAATGAATAAATGAATGAAGAAATGAATAAATGAATGAAGGAATGAATGAATAAGCGGGCGAACGTGTAAACGAATGAATGAAAAAGTGCAAGAAATGTATCAGCAAGTTAAAAGTGAACTAACAAATGAGTGCATGTTGGAATGTATGCATGTATGAATGAATGAATGAATGAATGAATGAACGATGGATGAATCATAACAAACTAACAAACAAATAAACAAACGAACGAACAAACGAACGAACGAACGAACGAACAAACGACCAACCAGCTAACAACTAACCATATATGAAAACATGTATTAAAGACGTTAATCTTGCCCATCTTCTGCAACTGAGTTGTTGCATACCTCAACTGGTTCTGAACGCTAATTTAGAAAATCAACATATCTATTACTAAGTTAATTAATTAATTAATTAATGAGTTGGTTTAATTAATAAATAAATTAATTAATTGATTAACACTAAATAACCTCCTATAAGCATCTTCACATTCGTTCACTTGCCTTCTAAACTCATTATATTCGCAATGATATCTACATGGGTGTGGGAATATTGCAAGGAATGTAATTATGAATGGATAAAAAAATCATTAATGAATGGATACATAAAGGAAGAAATGAATGATTGATTGATTGATAAAATAAATGAATGAATGAATGAATGAATGAATGAATGAATAGATGAATGGAAAAATTAAAGAATAAAGGTTACCTATTGCTTGCCTCATCCAATTCTTTAGAAATATTCTTTTCCTTTATAATGTCCAATAGAAGGGATTTATGCTTGACCTCTTCGGCCTGTATCTCCTTCTCTAATTGGTCAGTTTCTTGCAGCAACTTAATTTATGCAAAAAGGGAGGAGTTATAGAGGGTTTATTTAGGAGAATGTGACATTTTAAGATTCATGAATAACGATGACTGAAATGAAATTAGAGATTCTTATAAAGAGAAATGAAGAAGAAATGAATGAATGAAAGAAGGAACAATAATAGAATGAATGAATGAATGAATGGATGAATAACACCTTCTTAAGTTCTCCATCAAGATCTTCACTATCTCCTCCCTCACCACCATCATCCTCTCCCTTCTTCAATTTCTCCAGTAGCTTTCTACAGTTTGAGTGAGCATATAAATATTATTATAATAGTTCATGTAAATTTACGCTAATTTATGTAAATTTAGGCAAAATTAAATAACCTGTACATCTTGTTTTCATTTTCAGCTTCTTTCAACTCCTCATCCAGGTGATCAAGCAGCCCATCAGTACACTCCTGCAAAAATTAACGTAAATAACAACAAATTTACAATGAAAAAAAACATACATGAATTAATATAAGAATAAGTTATGTTAATGAACTAGCCTCACACAATGGATGATCGACAGTACTACGACTAGATAGAATGTTGAATAATTCAGATGCAACCTAACATAGACCAATAAAAAAGGTGTTATAAAAAATAAAATTTAAAAAAATAAATGAAATATGCAAATTTTTCAAACTGATACACGCACACATTCCATCCATTTCTTTTCTCTCTCTCTATTATATTTTAAATTTATTCTTTCCCTAACTTTCATTGTTGTACTTATTGTCTCTCCAGTATTCATCTCTGATTCACCAACAATTACAAAGCTGTGGTTTGTATCAAAAAAAGAATCCATGTTAAATTGGGGCTTTATCGGTAGTGTGGTCGTTGTAGCTGTAGTCGTTGCTGCTGCTGCTGAGTGGGTACTGTCTTTCTTGTTAGTTTCTACACAATTGTTAACTTCTGCTGACTTATCAGCTAAGTAAGCTGTGTGTGAAATAAAATTTTCAAATGTCTAAAAATAAAGAAAGTTTTATAAATAAGCAGGGTAGGAGTACCAATGAAAAATTCTATTTATTTTATATTTAATTTATAAATAAATAAATTAAAAAATAGTGAAGACAAACACTACTAACTACCAGCGAACTATTACTATGATATATATATGATATGACAATTTCAAAGACCAGATTCACTAACCGACTGCCTGATCGTCGTCAGAGATATTCTGCAGTGACGGCTCTAATCTGAGTGGCTGGTTACAACGCTGGCAGAGAAAGCTTACTATTTTTGACATGTTTATTTTAATTTTGTTTGTTGAATTAAGTGAATTAGTTAAAATTCACATAACCCTACAACTACTAATAAGAAACTGTATCTTTGTTTTAATAACAGCTAACTTTTTTGTTAATTTTTAGATAAAAATATAGTAAATGTATACAGAATCTTAAGTGAAATGACAAAAGCTTATGAAAATGTGTTAAAAGTGAAACAGTATGGACAGCCGGTGCAATTTTATATTTGATATTGAAGTATTAAAAACGTTAAAATAATTTACAACTAAAAATGAAAAACAAAAAATTTTAATGTTATCTATTTTTAAATTTTGTTTAAATTTGTTTGTTCAGTTTTTTTCATAAATCTTTTGACACTACATGTATAATTATATCGGCTTTCTAACGACATAAATTTTACAAACCTTAACACACTTAATGCCAAAAAAAATTTTGAAGTTAAAAATCTAATTTCTTTAAATGACATCTTGGAGTTTTATACTTCCCTGCTTGAAACGAAAGTAATTATTCATTAAATTAATCAGTAGGATTGGTTTGAATAATTGTCAGTAACTTTTTTTACACATAGTCTACAACTTGGACAGGCCTTGAAAAAATTGATCAACAGCCATGAGAGACCAATCCACATATCAAAGGGTTAATTAAATAATTTATGCAGTATTGAAATAAAATATGTATGTGTGTGTACTATTTTGCATGTATGTGTGGTGTTTATAATTTATATGCAATGTGTTGTGGTGTGTATTCTTATTTATTGTACTACTCTAGGTCTAGATACTTAACTGCTGAATAAAATGAATTTTAAAACTAATGTAATGTGTATTTTAAAATATTAAGACTTTAGAATTCAGATTAAAACTTTATCATTAAGAGAATTTATCTAATTTTTTTTAAATATAGAGATTTTAAATATAAATTTATTATTTTATTCTTTTATATTTATATTATTTCAGTTTGTCAGATGTTCATACAGAGCCATGAAACGCCCAATCCAAACAGTATAAAATTTCTTCCAGGAAAGCCTGTCCTGTCATCCGGAGAAACACTTGATTTCTCATCAAAAAACAAAGCAAAAATGTCACCCTTGGCAAAGTATTAACATCAAGCTTTGCTTTGCTGACTTAACTTTATTGAGATTCTAACAGAAAACATTTCACTGAAAATTTCAGACGGCTTTTTCGAATACAAGGAATCAAAGGAGTCTTCTTTGGACCTGATTTTATCACAATAACAAAAGTTTATAAAATTGCTAATACTAATTTCATGGAAACATCTCTTACTATATCAATAATAATAACAAAAATAACATTACCAAAACCATAAAATTAAAAAAATAAGTTGATTTCTAACTCAAAAATACATCAGGAGGATGATGAATGCGTTGAATGGATGGTTTTGAAGCCGAACATCTATGCAGCTATTATGGACTTTTATGAATCTGGTCAACCAATTGTTAAAGAAAGCAAGCCAGGTGTGTGGGTGCTTGTGTTTGTATATGTATGTGTTTGTTTGTTTGTGTGTGTGTGTGTGTGTGTATGGGGGGTAATATTATTGCACAACATACAAATAAGCATTCAATTTCAAATGAATTGTCTATGAAAGAATGAATAAATGATTGAACAATTGTGTACATCTTTGATAAGTGAACTCGTAGAGATACACCTTTAGATGAAAAAAACATTGCAAATCTATTAACAAACGAACTATATAAGAACAAGATGATAGAAATTAATGAAAAACTGTCTAAATTAATGCTTGAAAACCTAACAACCACTGCAGAGGACACCATCAAGGATGTAGAGAACGAGAATGCTGAAGTGATAGATCTCATAAAAGAACTTCTCGACACAAAGATAAGACCGACAGTGCAAGAAGATGGTGGAGATATTCTATTCATTGTCAGTTCGTTTTCTGTCTTGCATGACAACCCCGATATTTTCCTTATTTTCTACCAAGACTGGTCTCAGTCATTTGTCTGCCTCGACCCAGAGGATATAAATTAAGATATAGACAGCATTTAAGTTGCCACTTCTTCCTTGCTGAATAGTTTTTGCTAAAGTTTTCATTGATATTATTAGTAACGTATAAGTTGATAGTCATTCTTGATATCATTTTTAGAATCACACACGCACGCACGCACACACACACACACAGAGAAGTACATTAATTTATCCATACGCGCGTACGCTGTATACGTGCACCTTATACCAAATACAAAAAAAAAACCTCCAACGTAAATAATCATCAATATAGCTAATACAACAAAAGAACAAATTCGTCACTCACTTCTAGAGTTTCGAGGACGGTATAGTGCGTGTAAAAATGCAAGGCTCATGCACAAGTTGTCCTAGCTCCATAGTTACCTTGAAGAATGGTGTACAAAACATGCTTCAATTCTATGTACCAGAAGTATTGGATGTTGAGCAGGTCACTTTTTACCATATTGTTACCGTACGACATATTGTTACCGTACGATGTATTCCTAGGTATCATATAATAATGCATATAAATACGCGCCAAGTTATTTTTGATACGATATATCTAGGCATTAACTTGATACAGATAGACTTATAACATTACGTGATATGCATCAATAAATATCATACTCGAAGGTATATCACATAGTGCAGTAGTGTGATATATACGTGTATATATCTATACATACGCATGTATCTTGATAAATGTTCTAATAAAATTTAAAGAAAAAATTATTTCAGGTTGCAAATGGTGAAGATGACGACGACGATGATGACGACAAACACGTAATAAGGGATGGCGATGGAAAATTCAATAAAAATTAAAGTGATAGTAATATTTCCATCATTTCTTTCTATATGAACTCATTTGCTTTTTAACCCATCATCATTAAAAATAATTTTATCATTTTATCTATTATCATCAAAGACTATGCAGACGGGCTTAATAGCGTAAAGGTATTGTAATCTTGAACATGTGAAATATTAAGAATAGACTCTACATACAAATACATGCATACATAAACATTGTATTTGTATAGTAGAGTGTGTATATATAAACATACATACACGTATCTATATAATATATGTATATATATTACATATGTTTGAAAAGTTTTAAAGGGTTTTTCTCTAATGATATTATTACAATAACATTACATACTTGAAACAAAATATGACTATATCACCGATCGTGTGACGAATTAAATTATTGAAAAATGCATAAGATAAACCAAGTTAAATAAGTACGTTGTGTTATATATATATATGTTTTATCGTTATGAATAAATAAATAAATGAATGAATGAATGGATGAATGATTGAATGAGTGAGAGAAAGAAAATGAATGAATTTAAAACGAAACGATAAAAACTAGATTGTTTTCCAGAATAGATTGTATATTAGAGTTAGTACAGGTACTATTTTATGTAGCTCTCTATTAAATAAAATAAGCTTATATCATTTTAACATGAAGCAAAATATAGCCGCTATCCCATTAGATATATATATATAAGTGTGTGTGTGTAAGCATATTTCACTCAACATAATTACAAGGTGATTAATGTACAATAAATTAAATTCGTTTGTTCATTTATTCGGTGCAATCATCATAAATCATTCATGGTAGTCGATTATTCCACCACCCATCCATTCATTCATTCATTCGTTCGTTCGTTCGTTCAAGCCGTGAGCAATTAGTTAACCATTCGTCTATCATTTTATTCATTTTACAATAAGTTAGATATCAATTTCGACGTTATTTCAATTAGAGACGAAGAATTATATGAATTTACTATACTAATTTGCCATTTAAACAAACACATCCATCTAGTCATCTTTCAGTCACCCATTTATCTACTTATTCACATGTGCATCTATCAATCTCTCATTCATTCACCCTCTCATTCATTCATTCATTCATTCATCTATTCATTCACCACTGCCCCGAAGTTAATTTGGACTTCGTGTTCCATCCATTTAATTTCATTATCTTTGACATCCTTTTCAGCCATTGAGAGTTGCCTCTTCAGGTAGTTATGCCTCATCTTCAACCTGACCTATTTGCATATTAATGAGGAATAATAAATGACCCAAATACATGTTAATGATCGATATTCACGTAATTTCGATAGTCTAGATACTAATTATAATTATTATAAGTTTTAATATATATATATAGATACGTAGAGCAAACATACATATACACCCACACAAACATTAACATATATGAATATTAATTAGGCGAGACTGACCTTGGCATCTCCTTGCTCAACTTTCGGAGTCACAGATACAAAGAAACCAATCTTACAGCCTTTGCGGAACGCTATAATTCTATAGTGTTAACAACAACAAAACCATAACAACAACAATAAAAACAATAACAATGAAACAACAACGATAAAAACAACAACAACATTAATAATAATAATACTTTGGATCATCATTGAAGGTTTGTGTCTCTTCAACGTCAGCCGCATCTTCAGATTTTGCCACCAGTAACTCATCGCTGGGCAACTCGATCTGATAAATAACAATAATAATAACAATAATAATAACAATAATAATAACAATTACCATTGTTATAGCATAATAACATTATATAATAATAATAATAATACCAAAAATAATAACAAGTACTTCACAATATAATAAATATAGTGGAAGCATTTCATTTACTGACATATCAGTTACGGAATAAGAATACAGATGATGGTGTAACGACAAAATAATGGCGACAACACCATGGCAGCAACAGATGTCCAAACAGCCAACCTTAGCGGTATTAAAACCATTAGTAGCATCAGCCTCATCAGTGCTATCCTCATTGAATGCTGACAACTGAACTTGTACCGTGATCTCGAGTGGGTTTGTCAGAGTAAGGACAGCTTGGGTGGTCTGTTGAACGTGTGTGTGCGCTTGTGTTTAAATGTGCGTGCGTATGTAAGTTTGATGATGATTCATCCTACCTGATTATTTCTCAAGACAGGAGGTTTCATGATTCTTATCTCAGGAATATGGTGCCTGTGTGCATTTTTTTCAATTAAAAAAATTGAAGCTGAAATTTAAATAAAAAAAACAAAAGACAAAAAAAAACATTCAAACTTTTTAATTCTGTCAAAAACAAATTAGAAGAGAGAAAGAAAGAGAGAGAGAGAAGACGGAGAAATAGAGAAAGAAAGAGAGAGAGAGAGAGAAGACGGAGAAATAGAGAAAGAGAGAGAGAGAGAAAGAGGGATTGCTTCAATTATTGACTACTAATGCAATGTAGTATACAAACCATTACAAACAGTACAAATTACCGCCAAAAACGCTATTAACACTGCAATAAAACATCATTAAGGTAGTATTGTTGTGAAGCTAATACAAAGATACCCACAGAGCAACCAATTGTATCTTGAACTTTATAGCAGATGGATTGTATTCAGGTTTACTGAGGTTGTGATCACACTGCTAAATAGTGTAATTATAATTAATTAATTAATAATAAATTAATTAATTATTAATAATTATTGCCATAAATAATGATAAAAGTAACGATATAATAATTAATAAAATAAAGATAAATAATTGTAACACGTTCCCAAGTATAATGTTATCACTGTTGTAACACAAACAATTACATTCACAACAGAAAAATTAATTAAAATAACAACAAAAACTAAAATAAACAAAATATTATTAATATTATCATCCAACAAACAAACACAAACCAACCAACCAGCCAGTTAGCTAAGCAACCAACCAAAAACCAACCAAACAATCAACTAACCAAACCAACGAAACCAAACCAATAATTTCAAACCAATTTACCTTACATCTCTGGGATCTTTTGATAAGCAAATGTTTGTGATTAGGGTAGAGATTTTGAACAGTTGCTGGCTGAAATTCAGGGTTGCTCAAACGTTGGTTGATATTTGTCACTAATTAATTAATTAATTTTTTTATTTGTTTAGCATAGTATAGTCAGTCAGTCGGATAGTCAATCAGCTAGGAAAGTAGTTTAATATAAAAGTATTCCATTTGATGTTGAAATAACAATGATGCCTGTGTGCCACTAATTAATTTATGTTGGTCAGTTCAAGTCAGTGTTTTGAATATGAAAAAAAATGTTATAAACTTCAATTGGCGTTTAATAATAATAACAACAATAACAATAACGACCTTGAGAAAGGTCAAGAGGTTTAGTGTAGACGTCATCGGGGAGTTCATCAAAGCTGTCAAATGTTCTGCTCAGTTCGATTTCAGGTAAATTTATTTCTGCCTGGTCTTTGCTAGAAAATTCAAATTTTATTTCTATGAATCTACTTCCAATGTTTTAAAAAAAAAAATAAATAAATGAATGAATGATGATGGTAATCTTAGTAGCAAACAATAGCCATCTCTGAATGATCTTTGCTAAGAAAATTTTTGATTTAATTTAAATACTTTGAAATTAAGAAATAAACAAGTGAATGAATGAACGAATGAATTATAAAAATGAACAACAATAATAATAATAAATAATAATAATTTTATTAGTTAATACTAACATCAGATTCAAACTCAATCCAGGCCTCCTCTTAACAGTCAGATGTCCCAAGCCAAATTTTTCCTAACAAAAAGTATGAAATATATTTTTATTATTATGACCATTAATAATAAACATATAATTATTCTAAATTATCATTTATTATCATCAACGTCATCATCTTCTTCAGCATATCAGCATCTACATCATCGTCAGCCTTCTCATCCTCCTTACTAATGCCATCATTTGCATACACGTCCATATAAAGCACAGACAAAATATTATTCAGAAAACAAATGAGTAATTAAATAAATAATAATAAAAACAAATACAACCAGAATAATATTAAAAATTATGAAAAATAATAATAACTAAAGACTCCTCACAGGTAGTTGGAAAAAGCTTTTTCTCCTAAATCTTTTTTTCTCTTTCTCTTGCAATTCCTTCAACGTGTACTGCTTGTAGTATTCCACCAATGAGGCTATCTATCAGTCAGATGAATGAATGAATGGATGAATGATTGAATGAATAAATGAATGAATGGACCATAAAAATAAAAATAATAGATTTGCTATTTTATAAAATTAAACCATTTTACAAAACACTTTCAAAATTATGTTTGTTATATATTGATCCAGTGACTAATATGTTATTTGATATTTTATAAGCAAACATTAAGAGAAAGAGAGAGATAGGGTGGGGAGAGAGAAATAGGGTGGGGGGAGAGAGAGAGGTACATTGAAATAAATATTTTAACCAACCCTTTCAGCATAAGGGTTTATCTGTTCTGTCCAGCCGCCACTAGCTATATATTCATATATTCAGAAAAAAAAATAAACAATTTACCATTTTTTGAAAAGTATTATAAATTAAATTAATTTGTCTAATCATTTATTTTTAATTAATATAAACATAGATAAGTAACCAAATGCTCTAAATCTAAATATATCCAGATTACTAAAAAATTATTAAATAAAAAAATAAATGGACAACATAGCTAGATATAAAATCAACAAATGAATATATAATTAATTAATTAACCATATAATTAATTAATTAAAACAACTGAACATGGCTGACCAACAGATTGATCCTTGATGCCCACATCCCTTGATGACCATCTGCAAAAACCACACGCCAAATAAAATGCTTTCTTCAGAGTTTTGGACCCATCCTCACAGGCCTCATCAGACATTATAGATGTCGCTCTGGTAGAGAGGGCATGGTTGCATGTTGGGCAGTCGAAACAACTGCCACATCTAGAAAATTTAAAACAGTACAAGTACAAATTACCCAGTCAAGAATTAAGAAAGCTTTTTTAAGTCTATTAAATCAATAAGGGTTACAATTAGATAGAAATAGTTACCTACTGTAAGTAATTAATTAGTTGATTAAGTAGATTTCAATGCTCATAAAATTTATAAAAAATAAAATACCAACCAACCAACCTGTTCTTTTTGGTTTTTGCCTCAGCAGCAGGCATACTTTCCAGGCAGTTAGGACAAAAAAGGGAGTCCACCTGAAAAAAAATTTTGCTAAGATTACTAAGCATGAATCTTTTAAAATTTAAATTGAGTGTTAAAAAATGGATTAAGCACCAAAATAAAAAATCTTTCAAACCAAAAAAAAGTGAAAAAGAGAAAAAAATGAGGCCAAAAAAGAGAAATCTGCCAGAAAATTAACGTACAAACCTCGTGAAAGACGCAAAATTTAGATCTAAGTTCGAGACAATGCCTACAAAAGGACAATTCACACAATGGAGCCACGACTCCTTTCGAAACATATTTAACGCAATCCGTGTTCATGAACGTCGCCATTTTTATTTACATTTACGACGACAGTTGTCAAACGGGAACAATGCTTACAAGAAAAAATAAAAGGTGCCAAATTCAGTAATGAAAAATTTTTTAGATATGTAATTTGTTTAAAATTTATAATATATTACAAAAACTAATTTTTTCAATAATATTTTTTAAAAAGTTGACAGTCAAATCATTGTTTCAAAAAACAATTTCAAAAGTTTTTTGCCATCTCTATATTTATTTTAAATAGTCGTGGAAAAAATTATGGAAATTCCAATAATTTTATATCCGCTTTCTAGCGTAAAGTTGTATTTCGATCAGTTATTCTTCATTAAAAAAATTCGATAACTTTGTTCATTTTAATCCAATTTAATCAAACTAATTTATATTTTATTCTGCCTAATTCACGCTAACTACCTTCGATTGAGTTTCACTGCTATGAAGATGATCAAATTTAACAATGTAGTCATTTCTGATCAGCCACCTAATCAACCTTGGGTGATTTCAGAGTTAGGAAGAGGCGGATTCGGAATTATATACTTGTGCCAGGAACAGGTGGATTTATTAAATTTAAATTATTTTTGATTGACACTAGCTCTACACCTATATCAGTATTTTTTCTATTTATTTTTCCTGGTTAATAATAGAATATAATAGGCTACTCTAGCTTCTCTGGTTTAAAAAAAATTTTGATAACAAAGAAAAAATGGCAAAATTAGTAGTTTTATAAATTTGATGCAAAACCAATCAAATTTTGAAAAAAACTTCAAGTTTATTAAAAATACCCCTAGACAACAGGCAAGAAAATAGTGGTCAAAGCCTGTAACAACGGGAATCAAAGATCAGAAAAATCAAAAGAAAGATGGCGGAGTGAGTGTAAAATAATGACGCAGCTGGACCACCCACACATCATCAAAACAGTGAAACCGCCACCCAATCTCCATGCCTTCGATAAGGATCCTAATCCAGTCCTATGGTTAGAGTTCTGTAACAAAGATGATCTAAGGAAGGTACACTAATTTCAACTATTATAATTATCATTAACAACGAAATTAATTATTAATGATATCAACCACCAAATTATAATGTTATAAATAAATAAATATTATTATTTGTAGGAAATTTGCAAGCCATATAATATGTTTGGATTGGAGGAATATCAAGTTAAGATGATAGCCCATGACGTTTCATCGGCCGTTGAGTTCTTGCATGATAAAAAAATCTACCATCGAGATTTGAAACCGGAAAACATTATTCTGAATAAAAACGAAGGAGAAAGAGTATATTGCCTTTGTTGTTATTGTTATTATAAAGTGAATAAACTCCATGAGAATAAAAACCTTTCGTTGTCATTTGAACAAAATTTTTTTTTAACGTTATTATAGATTAAAATCCGCGTGCCCCGTCTTGACCATACCTTTGGTAACTTCTTAGAGATCACTATTATCATCTATTATCAACTTTCAAACACTTTTATCAGCACTCGTTTTTAAGATAAATAATACTGCCAAAAAATGCCATGAGCAGATGTACTCATTCAGCAAGACTTACTCGATGGCTCACTGAAAAATTTCTATACTTTCTTTTGTGGTTATTTTTTATCAGAATTTTTTCAAAAAATTTGCAGATAGTAAGTATATCATCTTGGGAAGAAACTCTTAAAAATATTTTCAACCTACGTTTTGTGGTTTTCTAATTATTGAAACCGAACGATCCAATGTATAGTCGGAGCGTTTCATTGAAAAAAATTACTGACGCATTTTTAGCTATAGATAGCCGATCTTTTTTTTTATTCAAATTTTGACGAAAAAACAAGCAGAAGTCGCTATTGTAAAAACATGCAACTCAAGTTTCTTATTTTTTGAAATCCAAGCTGAAATATAACCTGAGAGTTAATATCATAAGAACTAGTTTTGTTTTGTGAGCGCTCTACAGATTATTATTATTGCTATTATTGCCATTATTATTATTAATATTATTATTCTTATTATTAATTATAAATCAATGTCTCGTCAGATTGTGTACAAAGTCATAGACCTGGGTTACGCAAAGGTCGTCACTAAAGATAGCATATGCAACTCGTTCGTCGGAACTCTACAGTATTTGGTATTTTTCTAAACTATTATTCTTAATAGTAGTAATAATAATAATAATTTGTTATTATTTCTGTTATTAATCAGGCCCCGGAGTTGATGATGTCAAATGAACCGAGGTATACTAGAACTGTGGATTTCTGGTCGCTGGGAACTACAGTCTTCGAATGTATCAGTGGTTTTAGGCCTTTTCTACCTAACGCTGAATTCGATAGATGGTTATTATTGTTGTTATTTATATAATAATTATTATTATTGTTAATATTTAACTAAATTTGTAAGATTCTTGAAAAATTTTCACTCAAGGCAAGCGATAGTTAGAGAAAAAAGAGACATCCATATATACGCGTGTCCAAATAATTCTGGTCAACATGTTCTGTATGAGAAGTTGCCGACACCGAATCGGCTTTGCGAGTTGGTCTTGTGGTAGTTGTAGTAATTGTAGTAGCTGCAGCAGTCGCAACAGTAGTAGTAGCTGCAGTAGTAGCAGTAGTTGTTTTTATTGTTGGTGGATTTATTTTTTTGTTAATAAAGCTTTTAGTATGAAGTAAAACATATTATGAATCACAATACACAACACATATCCAAAAGCAATACAACACAACACAGCAGCAACATACACACAACAACAACAACAAAATAGCAACAACAACAACGCATCTAACAACAACAATGTAGATTAGCTCAGAAAGGATTCGAAAGTTGGTTGCAGTTGATGTTGAGATACAACTCGTTGACAAGAGGTGGAATTGAACTAGCCAACAACTACCCACAATGCTTTCCTATTCTTGCTCAGATTCTTGACCAAAAAGTTTTTAATTATTTTTTCAAAATCTTCATTATGTTTGCCTGTTTGGTAGAAAGAAGAGATGAGATACTTCTCTTTAATAAATATTTCACTGTTTGGCGAGGTGTGTCTGAAATGATATTTTTGATGTGTGCAGATTTTGAGAGTATTCAGTCCAATGACGAACACGACGGACTGCTTCAACGTGCACAACGAAAGTCTCAAAACCGTCCAACAACTGAAAGAATTCTATGAAACGAAACTATCAAGAGCCTCGAATCAAGCGGCCTCCTCAAGAACGCCACCTGGCCAATTTTCATTTCTGCTCGTAACTCCAACCGGCCTGATCCCAGACGCCATTAGTCCGCTCGAGAACTACTGCTCGCCACTCGACTACAACATCAGTGCCGAAAACTCGCAAATTGAAATCAACCTCTACCTAATAACCACAACCACCTCTAACGATCTAGCGCCTAGAATTTTGGGAAGAAAATTGGAAAACTTTTTGCAGTTACGTGATCAAAAGCTGGATGTGGCAGAGCAGTGCAAAGTAGCGAGGAATTTAACTTACTACACCCTGGAGATGAGAAAAGACATGCACAACCTTGTGAGTGCTGCTGAGGCCATCTGCCTCTGCCTCAATAGGACGAGAATCGAGGCAGAGACCATCGTCGGCGAACTACAGAACGCTTCAATTCAGTACAATACTAATTTAGAATTTTTCACTTCCAGTCTCACGGCGGATTTGCAAAATCTCGCTACTCTTTATGGTTGGGAGATGCTTTTCTAACAAATACACTAGATTTAATGTATGTAATATAAATATATCGATAATCAATCGTTCCTTCGTTCGTTCATTTATTCAATCATCCACTCATTCTATGAATCAATCACCAATTCAGTCTTTCGTTCAATTAAACCCGTGATTTTTTCAACATCACCATATCACCTACCACTTACATCAAATTGAAACGAGTCAACAACACAAAATTCTTATACTAAAAAATTTTCAAGACGCGGAAAGAAAAAAAACGTTGAGAGAAGAGTGGGAGAAAGATTTAAACAGTTTTCAGAAGTTCGATTCAATCGGCGAGGAGATCCAGGCCAGTTTAAATTGCGTGACATTCAAAAATTCTCAGACACTCAAATCACCCTGTTACGACTACAACCTCGTCAACACAAAGATGTCGACTTAGTAAGTACCTACCTACCTTTCTATCTAATGTTACCCCCACCTTTCTATCTAATCCTAACTCCACTTTTCTACCTACCTACCCATTTTTCTAGCTACCCACCTACCTATCCTTATTCCTATTTTGTTATTATTCTTTAAAAACCAGGGTCTGACATTTTATTTTATCTGGTATTTTATTTTATCATTTTATCTGGTATTTTATTACCAACCTACTTAGCCGTATCTCGATTTATTGATTAAAGGTGCGTGAACGTTCGTTTACGTAACGCTCACACGACAGAACGCAATTTAACACTTCGTAGCAGCGTCCAAACTTATTATCGTAAATATTATTACAGGCAATATGAAATTATGTCATAATTACGATTTTCTAAACACTTTCAGTTTCAATAACGCTTATGAGACGTACGAAAAGTTGAAGAACGTACCGCACAGTAAGCTCGACTAAATACTTTTTTTAAATGGTCATAATTTATTTTATAATTAATAATAATAATAATTATTATTATTATTATGTTAATAATAATTATCATTATTATGTTACCTTTGTTGATGTTATTATTACGAAATTTAGACTTGAAATCAAGCACGAACATGACCCTAGACTTGTCGAATATTTTGAAGAATTGTAGAGGGACCTGGAGCCTCATGTCTAAAGATTATCTGACCTTTATTAGGTAATAGTCTTATGTTAAGGTGCCTGCACTCTGTGTGTGTGTGTATTCGAGCGTATGTACTGTGTGTGTGTTTGCTTTTGATCGATTTAATTAATTAACAATATAGCAAACTTTTAACACAAAACTAGAAACCTAGCCCAATGTGAAAAGGATTTAAACGTCATAACGTTAAGAGCAACTGAACAGTTAGATATATTGCACCAGCTTATGAAAGACATTTCAAAAAGGCAATCTAAGAGACAGGAGACAATATGGCGGATGGTAATATTACAAACATCATTGTTATTATTATCATAACTTATACTATTTCAACATTTTAAAAAGTCACTGGCAAATAACTCGAAAGACATCTCAGAATCCCAAACAGCCCAAGCAAATGGCACTTGCATTGGTGCTTCCACTAGCGGTAACAGTAGTGGTGGTAGCGGTAGTAGCGGCAACGACGACAACGTTAATTATGTAGTGGCCGGCATCAACGATGGAAATATATTGTGTGCTCGAAGTATGGAGCTGATTGAAAGGTCCACCGTTTGTTCATTTTTTCGTTTATTTGTTGTTGAACTCTTTCTTTTATTCATCTATTCATTCATCTGTCTATTCTTTCCATCATTATCAAATCAGTTGTTACAAACGCCAACCTTTTCAATCAATCAATCATTCATTCAACCGCCAGTCAGCCAAGCGATCGACTATCAATCAATCAATCGATCGATCAATCAATCAATCATTTTATCAATCAATCAATCATTATTACTCAATTATAATTAAAAATTATTTTTCCACTATCAAGAGCCCAGAATATACTGGCGGACGAAGCGGACACCAAAGCCTACTCCATCGTCGACAGAATAGATTGGAAAGCTTTGAAGCTCTAATTTATCAATCCCATTACGATTTCATTAATAATTCATTCATGTATCATAACCCATTATAAATAAAATTCATTCATTAATTTGGTTATTTATAATTCTCCTATCTATAAACCATTGAATTTTGCTGATATCGTAGAGAGAGAGAGAGAGAGAGAGAGAGAGAGAGAGAGAGAGAGAGAGAAAGAGAGACAGATAGAAAGAGAGAATGAGTGTTACTTTATAAATGTTGAATATTTACGTAAAATGCACGGACGCTGTATTAAGAGTTGGGTCTTTCATAGGAATCGCAATTGAAATTAAAATAAAATAATATGGAAATTTGTTTGTTTATTTGTTTAATCATTCAATCAAATTAACCAATCAAACTAATCAATCCAATTAACCAAACAATCCAATTAATCAATCCAACTAACGAATCCAAATATCCAACCCAATTAACTAATTCAATCAATCAACTATCCAATTAATACAATCAACCAATCCAATTTATTTCTTCTTTTTATTTCTCCTATTATTGGACTTGTTCTTATTCTTGTACTTTTTAATAGCGGCGGGCTGGATAATAATAATAAATTACAAATATATTAATAATTTACTATTACTAATACAAATAAATTATAAATATAAATAATTATAAGATAAATATAATTATATCCATAATTATATAATAAAGACACGGATAAAAACGCATGCAATAATATATATATATATATATAATATGGATAATAACAACATAACAATGATATCACGGACCGCAATGATATCTAAGATAATAACCAATAAAAGAGATAACTACTCCAAAAATAGTGCTTGGATCCTTACGAGAACGCGGAAAACTTCATCTAGATCACAAGAATACTACATAATAATACGACAAAGATCAGAAACACGAATACCGTATAATAACACCGGAGAGATACTTCGAGAATTTTTAAAAGAAGCGCTTTATGAAGCGCTTTATTAACACTCAAACAGTAACTATAATAATAATATCTGAATGGTTTAAACTGGAAAAAGCTGCAAAGAGATAGTAGAAAAACACTACACAACAGAAATGACAAATTATACCAGAAGTATATGACATAAATTATAAATACTTCAAAAGATGAACAAGAAAAAATACCAACAGATCTGAATGATTTGAACTGCACTTCATCCACACTCTCCCTCGTATTGTATTTTGACCTCTTCTTCTGGCCGCCAAAGCCAAACTTCTTGTTCTTCATCATTCTCTTCTTATTGGCTTTCCTGAAATTGTTTCATAATAATTATTATACGCAGTAATTATTGTTTAAATAATTATTATTGATAATAATTATTAAACAAAATAATATATACAAACATTGGTTTTTCAGGGACTATGTATGATGAATCATTATTATTTTTATTATTATTCATTTGCTGTTGTTGTTTATGTTGTTGTTTTATCTTTTGCTCTTTCCTATAGACGACTTCAACACTTTTTCTGTCACTGGTGTCTTCAAATAGATCGTCTGGATTCAAGATTTTTCCCCGCTGACCTGTGTGTTTGTTTGTGTGTGAATATGTGTGTGTTTGTCTGTCTAGTGCGTATGTGAAATATGTGTACGTATGAATCTGTCTAGTGCAGATGTATGTGTGAATATATATGTGTGTGCATCTGTCTAGTACGTAAGTTTGTTTGTGTATGGGTGTAAGAAAGTGTATGTGTGTGTGTGTCTGTCTAGTGCAGGAGTGGGCAAACTTTTTAATGTGAGGGCCGCAATGAAAACTATTTTACCTTTGAAGGGCCGCATATGTACTTAAATAGCAAATTTTTTCAACCCAGGGGAGAATTTTAAGATTTGTGGCTCCTTTTTTTGGTCATAATGTCTGGCTGACAACCTTTTTTTGGCGAACAAGGCCTCGCGGGCCGCATAAAATAGCCCGTAGTTTGCCCACCCCTGGTCTAGTGTGTATTTTAAAACTGCTTTATTCCATGAAAAAAAGATAAAATAAAACGATAAAACCACGCCCACCTAAGTTCAACTTCTTCCTGACTTTTTTCAGTGTGTTCTTGTACTCTAATTTTTCCTTCTTCTTCTCTTTCCTGCCCTCTTTATCGGCCTTTTATGAAAAATAAATAAACAGATGGAAAGAATAAATAATAATAAAACAAAGATGGGACAATGACAAAAAGGTAAATAAAAAAGCAACTAACTAATTTTTTAACTTTCTTTGCTTCCCTTTCTTTCTTTGCCTTCTCTGATTTGTCCTTGATGGCTTGTAAGCTCAATATATTCTCTTTAACCTGGTTTATAGCAATAGTAATAATAATAAAACTATAATGAAGAAAATTTCAAACAAGATATTTTTTTTTAAATTTATTTATTGGCGTAGAGCGATGCGCAAGTGATATTATTTCATACCCACTTTTTTCATATGCAGATCACTTTTAAGCATCTCAGCGAAATAATCCTCTGGCCGTTTTGTTGGGATGTTGAAGGCAGTAAGTCTAGCCAAGCCCTTCAAAACTGCATTCTGTGCTTGCCGGTAGCTGATTAAAATATTTCATTTGGTTGCTTTTAAAGTAAATTTTCAAGGAACCAATTAACATCAAAAGTTAATTTAACAATTAAAAAATAAATAAGAAAATCTTAAAAAATTATGGAAAAATTAATTTTAAAACAAATTAAATTAATATATAAAAGAAACCGACAACAAATTTTCTAATTTAAAATCATTTTCCTCCTCTTTGCCATCGCCCTTAATATCGCTCTCGTCATCATCTTTCAGGCAGTAAGGTAGTGGGGCAGGCTCAACGCAGATGTCCAAAGTTTCTTGCCATGGCAAATCCCTTTTTAAGTTTCTCAGGGCTTCTTCTAATCCGACCTATCATCATCAGTGAAAATGAATTTTTGTGGAAAAAAAGATCTAGCAGAATATTAATTCAATATAAATTTACATAGAAAAAAATTTGTTTGACAATTTCTACTCACCTTATTATTTATATACTTTGGTTTCGGATTTGTTGTTGAAACAATGACAGTGTCTTTGAGCAGTCCTTTCTCGAATGCCACTTGCAGCTACAAAGAAAGTTAAGCAATCATCATTAAATTATTATTTATAATGAAGTTGCCATTTATTTATTCCCTAGTTAATCTATTAGTAGTGTGAGGGACATTTTCAATTGAATTAATTTTATATAGTTATAATAATAAGATTAGAATAAGGTAAAATAAAATAGACATGACATGAATGATTGATATTGTAATGCTAAATTACAGTTTTTAACTTTTATTTTAATTTTTAATGAACATGAATTTATCAATTTATGATTTTATGTATATCTAATACAAATATTGTAATCTAATTAGAATTCTATTAGCAATTCAGTTAGTAATATTAATAATTTGTTAAAACGATTTAGTAAATTTTAATATTTATTACTAAAACTAAATAAATATTAATAATATTAATATTTGATTTATTTTTTTAAAAAACAAAATAAAATACAAAACTGACCTCCTTGTCAGAATCATTGTCGCTATCATTTTCAACCTGGAAGCCATCGTCGTCAGACATTTTTAACGTTTATTTATTTATTTTTATTTAAAACTTAATTGTATATTCCGATTTAATTATAAGAAGAATGTGACGGATCGAAGAGACGATAATAAGAAAAGCCAAGAACCACGTGAAAAATTTGAAAGTAAACCAGCATAGATAATAAAATGCCGTATCACAAAATTATGTTTCCGTGGCAACCTAACCAAACACAATCAGCTGATCTGTTGTTTTATAAACCACCAAGACATATACGCTTATTATTACAAGATTAAAATTTAAACCATTGGAACATAAAGTTTTATTCGCTAATACGTAAGAGAAATGTCTAATAATAATATTGTGAAGAACGTGCGACTAGTGTTCGACGGAAGTTCGGCCGAAGATTTTGAAACGGCCAGATCGTTTTGGAGATCATCCTACTTAACAACCCATCACGAATCTCGTATCATTAGCAGCGATGTCAATCAACTCCTTCCATCTGCTCCTAAACTAGTCGATGAACACGGGAATTCTATAAGACGAGGTTATTCTAAGCAATGAAAAAGTAATTGATATTAACATTAAGACATTATCAAGTTCTTTCGTATCATTTCATACAGTTTTCTAATGTAATTTTTGTAATCTTCACAATTTTTACTCTGTATTACAGATACAAAAGCGGGAAAGGCAGAAAGAAGTTAGTCAACTAACTTAAATACATTGAAACAATATTGAGGCAAAAAAATTAATTGTTATATAACGAATAAAACAAATTCACCATTTTTTTACATTTCACTAAAAACTGGTTCTAAATCCAGACGAATACCACGACAACTACAGATCACCGTCAAACGACAAAATGTTGAGACAAGAAATTGAAATGATAAAGAGAAGGAACAAGTGGAGGACGGTGGAAAAGATGCTTCTTGATAAGCACAGGTGTGCTCGCATACAGGTGATATATATTACACTTTAACACATTGATTTTACTTTTACATTGACAAAAAAACAAAATGGAATCATTTTCTCTAGCCGTTCATATGTATGCTATATAAGCGTATATACTATAAATATTATATGAAAATATGTAATAAATTCCACCGATTTATTAGTATTTATCAATTTATATTTGATTTTTTCAATTTGTCTATGTAATATATATATATATATTCATTTATTTATTTGTAAATTTAGCATAACTAAACATTTGTAAAATAATTTTTAAATGTATTATTTATTTTTAATTTAATTATAACGTCATATAATTTTTTATCTTATTTCAACAGCTTGAAATAAAATCGAAGCAAAAAGTGCAAGCCAGTGTTACTAACTTTGACAATGAACTATTTTATTGAACATTTTACATTTGTCATCACTATTACATAAAATGCTTTACTTTACAAATTCACATTTACACGTATTTATAATTTGACAAGAATGTAATTAAAAAACTGTCAAAATTACAATGGAAGAATTATGACTAATTGTATGTGGTGCATAGTGTTAAAAAATGTTTAAATGCCTTTTCCCAATTAATTGAACCTTCTTGTCAAATGCAGACGACTTTATGGGGGTGTTGAACTTGTAAAAAGGGTTCATAGAATGCTATAATGAAAAATTAAATGTAAAAAAAGGGTTACCTGATAAATAAATTATTATGAAAAAAAAATCAAAGTAAAAAGATTCTCAATTGTCGAATGATGAAATAAAATTGCTACTTTTACAAAGAGTTCATAAGCATCTTGGAAGAAATTCTTGATGGCGTCATCATTCTTTATATCGTGAAGTATTAGAAATCTCATGCCTTGCAAACAAAAATTGATAGTTTAATGAAATCAGAACAGGATTATGACCTCTTAGAATGTAATTATATAAAAAAAAAATTCAAAAATAACTAAGTAATCATTTGAAATTAATTGTTATTTTTAATTAAATTTTAATTAAAATGAGAAAAAAACTAACGGGATGCAGTGACAAAAGCAGACACGAACCATTCATTGAACTTGTCGACGACTTTGAGATGCATGCTGTTCGAAGCCCACATTTGTTCGTCCACTAAATCGAGAGCTGCATGGGCTATGAACTGATTCAAATGCTTGTGGTCCTCTTTCTAAATTTAGTAAAAAACATTACAATTAAGTAATTTTAACACAATTGAATAATTCAAATAATTGAGAAATTTATCAAAAAATTAAAATTAAAATTTTAAATTAACTGAACATTAATTAAATTAAAACATTAATAAATAAACGATTTAATTTTTTATAATACATTAATAATTAATGTATTAACGATTAATTTAATAATTTAATTAATTATTTTAAATTTTAATAATTAAATATTAATTAAATTAATTAAACTTACTTTTGGATCATTGGCTTTTGCAGCGGTGAGAAATTCAATTTCGTAGATTGGATTGTCGTTGTGGCCAACGATGACGAAATAATAATTCCCGGACATTTTTAATTAAACAATAGCACGTTAGCAGACGTTGAGAGTATTTTTAGTTCTCTTTCGGACCGTCTAAATAATATCTTAACATAAATTCACTTTTGTAACAAGTTAAAAGTAAATTTAATATGAAAAAGATGCTCCGGTACAAAACTAAAAATAAACTTATCAACGAAGGTTGCGTAATCATTCTTTGAAATTAAGAGCCTATATTTTTTAATGAAATCTAAAAGTTTTTGTAGAAAAAAGTTAGGTAATCTCGGAGACGGCAAAGTGGTTTTTCCAGCAATATTTATTTATAGTCAACAGTTTAAAGAGAGTCATAAGTTCCTCCCACGGCACAACTAAAAGTTAAACTGAATAATAAAAGCTTATAATAAAAGTTAAAATAAAAATTTTAAACCAATTTTTACTAGAAAAACCACAAAACTTCTATAAAGTTATAAAATATGATACATTACAAAATGTGTAACAAAATTTTAAACGTATCTGTTAAAAAGATAGTTTCACTTTTAAAACAAATTAATAATTTTTAGAAACTTGCTTCCAGAGGTAACTTGCCGTTGAAAAAAATTTTCAATTTTAAAATCTGGTAGGGCGCTTCCAGTTATATAATTCCATGATTTTTACTTCATAATCGGCGGATAGATCTATTTAGTTTTAGAAATTGAACTATAACATTATGTTGTATGAATTATTCTTTACTTCGTTAAACGTTTTTCATTCGTGTTTTTCAATTTTAAAATCATTAACATTTAAAAATTAAAATTCTTCAAAAAACCGCTTATTTTTTAAAATTTTTACTTCATAACCGGTGGGTAGATCCATTTAGTTTTAGAAATTGAACTATAACATTTCTCAACGGGTACAAAGCAAGGGGAGGCCTATTTACCAGCATACAACACCTTCTTATGAGTTGAAGCAGAGATATGCAAAGAACCTCAATTTTTTCAACTTTTAATTATTTTCAGTAATGTCTCCCCTTGCTCCAAACCACATAACTAGAATAATAGGACTAATCGATCAATTCGATCTATCGGTCGGGCTATTTGTCGTGCTTGGATTGTTGGCTTACGAAATTGCATGGATTTTAACGAGCAAGCTAAATGAGATATTTACCATGGAAATATATAATTCAATGATATAAGAAACTGGCTGCTGAAATCATACGTCGGCTTACAGCAGTGGCTTACAGGGTTTCATAGAACTCTTACGATAGCAGTTTTTTGTACATATAATGCTTTAAATAAATCAATATATTCATATCACAATTATTTTTGTCAGTATAAATATAGAAATTGCTTTTGTCAGGTGAAAAACAGTGGCTTACTGAAGCCGTAGGTTGGCTTAATAGGATTTTTTCTCATGTATACAATACTATGAGATAAATCAATCAAAAAATCAGTCAGTCGGTCGGTCGGTCGGTCGGTCAGCCAGCCAGCCAGTCAGTCATATATGTATATATATATATATATATATATGTATAAATGTATATATATATATATATCTAAAGTAAGAAAGAGAGAGAGAGAATGAGACAAGGGGTATGCGTAAAAAATAACGTTTCAATAAATAGATAAAAATATACAATACACATACACGCACACACACACACACACAAACTCACACACAAATACACACACACACACACACATATATATATATAACGCTTGTATTAAAAGAAGAATGCAAGCTTTTGAAATGCATAATGAAACAACTATTTTTATTTCGTTGTTGTTGTTATTATTATTATATTGTTGTTACTGTTGTTCGTTGATGATGGTTGTGATGATGATGATCGTCATCATAGTTAACATGATTAACAGTATAACATACTTAAAATACATTGACAGAAATGACATGAATGTTTATTGTACTGCGTATATATGATGGCAGTATGTATGCGTGTATGTATGTTTGTATGTATGTGTGTCTGTGTCTCTTTACGTGTACATGTTTGTATTCGAGATTTTAGTAAGAAAAGAAAAACACAACAGTTGCTTTTATTTGACATCAAAAGATGAAAAGTGACGAAATTAAAATTTGTTAAATGTCAATTTTTTAAAAACTTCAGATTTTAAACAAACAAATAACAAAATATCGATCGATAAAAAATAATTATCACGAAACATGAATATTTGGTAAGAACAGTTCACAGCATATCATAATGACTAAATCAACATACCAAACAGAAATTATTCATGCATGCATATGTACAAACTTCTACATAAAAAATCTTCTCACTCATCTTTCTCTGCTCAACAGTTTCATGACTTTTTTGTAAATAAAATTACTTCTTTAAGAACATCTAATTCTAATTTTCCTTCTCATAACTTTACTAAACTTACTACTGAATCTTTCTCTGTATTTACTCCAATAAATCTTTTAGAACTAACTAAAATTATTAATTCTATGTCGTCTACAACCTGTTCTCTAGATCTACTTCCTTCTAATTTACTTAAAGAATTCTCTTCAATATTTATCCAATCATCTCAAATTA